GCGTGCCCGTCGTGAGCGCAGTGTGCAGCTTCAACGCCATTGAGTGGCTGGACACATTCCAGGCTTTAAGGGCTTAAGCGCAAGCTTGCGCTTTGTGGGGCTGGCGGCAAGCTGCCTCACCCAGTGAGGATTATTGGGACGCAGCATTTGTTTGCGCAATCCTACATTCGTTGGCTCGTGGAGGGTCAGCCGCACTGACAATCAAACATTCGCGGTGTCTAGAAACTGTGCCGAACTTCGGGATGCAGATAGGTCCAAGGAAATGAGAGCAAGGGACCTCCAGCCCCGGCCACCTAATCTCAGTGTAGCCTTGAATGGAGCAGACATTCTTCTAGGACGGCATGCTCAAAACACGAGACAAAACCCCGTCGAATCGGTCAGGATGCTGAACATGCGGTCTGACACGAACGTCGAAGGACGGCACAGGACACTGCCCGTGAATGCGCTTGTTTGTTACAATCGTGTTTGGTTACTGCTCTTTCGACCAACGCCACAAAACACACCCCCTTCGGCCACACTGACGTATCCGTTTCTTTCTTGGAATCGCGAAATTAGGTGCGCAGAGCCAGCGCACGCCCAATGCATCAAACATGACGGCGTTACCCACAGGATATCTGTGCAGCTTGCAGCCACGCTCTGCATGTGGGAACAATCCACCAATTGAGGCTTCTACTGGCTGCATCTATAATTACCTATGGTCTTCCCTTTTCTGGAGCATTCAGTTTCAAACAGTCCATTGGATAAACTGCGTAGATTCTCCCACAGACTTGCGCCTACCACACGGCCCTTGATTATCATCATTACGACCGAGCAGGAGCTTTGCTCATCACTTCCGTTCCATGAGTTTCAATGCAGCTAAATATTCCTCAAAGAATGTTCTTCGAATCTGTCCATACATTTAAATGTTGAAACTGCTCATTTTCCTCAAACCCATGAGCCCAGACTTCCGCGGCGGGGCCCACAATTTGTGCAAGGCACACGGCATTTGCAGTATTACACAATATCTGCTTGCCCTCTGGGTCATTGCCACCGCGGGGCCAGGAGGCGTTTCAGTGCAACACGCGGGACTCAGTGTCCGTCGTACCATACTCAGGAATCCAGTGCATTTTGATTCTCCAGAAACTCGGAAATTCCAGAAACGCCCAACATGCAGCCTGGCACATCCCATCATGTCGAGTCAGCAGTGGCCCTGACCCCATCACATTGAATCTCAGCGGCACTCTTCTTCTCCGAGCTTCAAATATCTCATCCAATCCCTCCAACTGCAATGCTTTGATGTTCCCGTGTATCCGGCGGCGTTGAATCTGGGCCCTGCGCTCAAGATGGGCATGCCCAAATCGACCATCGACACTCGAGCTTTCATGTACGTATCACCGACGCCAGATCGTTCTCGAGAATCCGCGCAGAGTACCAGACCGCCGTCTTGGTCTCAAGCACCGACAAAATAATGCCGATTTCGCTCAGTTTGTAACTGCGTTCATACTGTGTTAGAAAGATTGCATTGGGTGCTGGAGGCTTGTACAAGTGAGGCACATGTGCCGTGCTTTACAGGAGTCAAAATCATGTCCTCCTAAACGGGCTTTTCTCGCCCATTTTTCTCCGTTGAAGAACCCTTCCGAATGGTAGTCAATGCACCACTCAGCACATTCTGCGAGAAAGATCGACCTGGTAGGCAACAATGCTCAGCCTTGACGCTGCCGCCAGGATCGATCCGTGTGCACTCTCGCGATTTGACCAATTACGGGCGACCTAATGATCAACATCGCGGCAGTGAAGTGATTGCAGGCGTCCAGCCACTCCACTTTGCATGGTCGAGTGCCACCCGAAGCACGTGTGCTGACGCAGACTTAGTCCAGCATGAAGCGAACATGGAGTCTGCCGTGTGTGGGGTCACGTACCTGAATTGGTACTCAGCACCAGCTCGGTGACGCGGCTCAAACACGGCGGACTCAGTTTTCACTGCGCACATTATTGTGGTCGTTTTATCGGCTCATCTGCAATACTCAAGAACAAGAGCTGCATTATAAAAAACGCAGCGATCGCGCAATTTGCGGCAACCCGTTTCAAATTGCTCTTTCTTTGTTTCTTTAAGCACCGCTATCACGGGCGCCAGATTCCTGACATGATCATGTCCAGACAACCGAGGGACCCGAATGGCAAGCGCAGTGGAAATACTGGGGAGCTTAAAAGAGACAGGCTTCGGCGAACGACAAGCGACCACTAAATACGTCTGCGGGCGGGCCCGGCCGGCAGCCACTGCCACAGGTAAAAGTTCGACCAAAGTACAGGATTCCTAACCGTGTAAAAATCTTGTAAAGCCATGTTAAAATGTGTAAAGTCTTGTACACTCAATCCATCGTTACTAGACGGTGTGGTTCCATTTTCTTGCGACAAATGCACTATTAGCACGATTTTTTGCATGGTTTTCAATCGTGCTACACGGTACACGATTTTCGAAAATGTGTATTTTGGCCTTTTTTTACTAGTATATTTGGGGACCGCCACTGCCATCTTGCAAGGCTTAAGCACCCCACCCACACCTCCCTTGCCCCCCTTAAGGCAACAATAATGCAACAATGCGCATCAAGACATGCCACGTACAGGCGTCCAGCATCAACAAATGGCAGTAATTTGGTTGATGGGCACCGAGCCTGCGAGAACCTGTCGGAAGCTGCTGGCGAAGCTGGGAACGTGCCGTTTGGGGAGCCCAATGGGACTGCTGCGAGGAGCGTTGCTGCGGCTTGCCAAAGGAACGGGCTTGCACGTCGAAGGAGGGGCCGGAAGCCATTCGGCCGCTCCTTGATTCCACTCCGGAAGTGCATCGGCAGTCCGCGGGCTGCTGTTCTCAAAGACATGCGTCGCTTCGTAGTATATTTACACAACTGGGTACTGCCTCTCAGGGGGCGTGGGATCCTGGAAGAAGACGCCGTGGAGATGGTGTCGCTGATGAGCGCGGAGGAGAGGGGTGATCGAACGCGTTGCAACAGGCGCTACGTCCTGGATAGGAGGCCCCGCGATGGGATTGTCCTGAGCTGGTTGCTCGGTGCCCCCAGGCCTACCCCGGTTAGTGTGAGTGCCTTGGTAGCCCTGAAAACGGGTGCCTGGGCACCGACCATTGTTTTCAATCGTTCAGCAGCCGGGGGCTGGCATGGGACGCTTGGAGAGAGGCACCAACCAAATGTGCGCAGCATTCGTGGAGTACTGCCCTGGAAGCAGCTCCCCTTTGAAAAGATCTTCGTGTGAGGCTGCTGCAAGTTAAACGCGTGTCACGGGGGCATGTATTTTCGTTCTTCTGGCATGTACCTGAAGTGGGTTTCACTTGTTTTGAACGCTACGAACTTCGAAAAGAATGATGTATATTAATCGCTGCTGGCTCATGTTCAACATGTGGTGAGAGAGGGCGGAACTAAGTTTCCCAAATGCAAACACATAGTAGCCTCTACGTGTGCGGTCTCATTTTCACTTTTGCCGGCAGCACACAAACCGCCAGAGGCCTAGGATCAAGAATAATGAAGATAGCAAGCGATCCTGGCTTTCCGTCGAGCTCTGGAATCTGGCAAGTTGAGGATCCACAGGAGCCGCCACCAACACAATTTGGAGCTGTCCCACATTCCAACTCATCTTGCATGTAACCACATATATTGAGGTACAGCTGTTGAGCTAGCCGATGATTGGGAGGTTGGCTCAGTTCTCAGTTCGGCATGTGCCCCCAGGTTGATATCCTTCTGTTTGCGCATGCTGCACAGCAGCCCCTGAAGAGTGATAGACGATCGAGACCCGGACACGGGGCAGCATTTGAGGCGACGACCATCCCGCCACTCTCGTTCGCCGTTTGCCCTTCCGCCCGCCGGGGGGTGGACTGCCCACTGAGACTGAATACAATCCCGATGCGGCGTGGGGGCCGTGGCGATCAAGAGAAGGGGCGACGGCTCTTTTTGCTGATATGGTACGGCGCCTTCGAGGGCGAGAGACCTGCGTCGTGTTCGTAACGGGCCGGGAGAGTCAGCAGTAAGAATCTCATGTCATCTCAGCAGTTAGTTAAAGCCATCAATTGGTGTTCTCATGAAAACACAAACAATTGTTTTTGCTGTTCTTCTCGCGGAAGGGCATAGAAAATGCGCCTGTGCTTCCGCTCATGAACTGCTGCATTGGTAGCGCACAGGCAAATAAATGTGACGTGTGTTCATGTCGCGTTCGCGACGACAAAGACAATATGCACCCTGTGTTTGGGGAGATTTGTGGGGGGTGGTGAATGCCTTGCAGGTTGAAAAGAGAGACGGTGAAAAGGGGACCAGTAGTGCTTAGCTCACGTGACCTTGTGCACATGTTTGGGATTCTTTTCGTGCTTTTAACTGTAAAGGTTAAGATGCCAAGTTTGCCCCACTGTTCCGTGTGCCCAGTGACCGACCGCACCGAAAGGGATGGCACGCTGTGCCATTGTGCCAAAACGCTGATAATCGTGTATTAAATTAAATTAACGGGTATACAGAAACTAAGTAACTCCGCGCTAATATTGACATTAGTTAGAATGATGTCGTGTATGCTATGTTCCAGCACGAGCAGCTGAACATCAATCCGCACCATTTTCGGTGCCAGTTTCTGCCAGAGCTTGTTGCATATGCTGCTTGCCACAGCGACGACGTTTCCCCCAACACTGGCCTTAAAATGTCTTTTGGGAAAATGTGCCACAAGGCTCAGTACTTCCCGCATTACTTGTTTGTACCACCTTCTACCGAAACTGCGTTCTGAGTCCAGTGATCTCTCTCATCAAACTGGGCAGCCGTGTTGTGGGCCTCCTCCTCGGAAAGGGCAATGGCGCAAGCCTGTCAGAGGAGCAGGGAGGGCTGCAGATGACAAACGCGAAGCCATCCTGGCAACAAAGGATCCTGTTGGACCACAAGTCCATGCAACAGCAAAGGCTGCGAGATGGGCGAGAGCCACAAACGCCACAACGCACGGTTCCCGAAATCTGCCTCTAGAACCTTTCGCAGTTACACATGTCACACTGGCGGTGACTGCGAGAAAGTCAATTTCCAGTCCTTGGCGACGCCCAGGTCTGGTTTTCGAATCACCACAGCTGAACCTCCCAGCCCCCCGCCCAGCCGCACAGGGCCGCCGTTCACAGCCAACTCCGCCCCTGAGCCCGAGTCTGTCACCCGCCACGAGGCAGGGTCCCCAGGCAGACCCAGCACCACAATTCTTTCAATCGTCACTGCAGTATCGTACTTGGAAGCAACCCCCTCCTCCCAATCCGTGCTCGTGAGCTCGAGGCCCCTGAACCTGTAAACCTTGTGCAGGTAAGCCCCATCCCGAAAGTTGAAGCTGCTGCCATCGTCCAGGTACAGGTCGCCCATGGCGGAGACGTCCCCATCCAGGGCCACCAGCAGAGTGAAGGGATCGTTCTTCATGGCCATGGTGCTGCGCCGGTGGCGCTCCCTCTTCGGGACAATGTATCCCCCCCGGTAAAAGTATGGGATGCTTTCCATGGTCACAGGCAACTGGATGGAACCCCCGCCTTCAGGGGCTTGCAACTTGTTGCCTGACTCAGGGTCGTACCACACAGATCCAGGAGGAAGGTACACAGCAACGCTCTGTACCCCGGGCTCCATGACAGGGCGGACCAATACAGCGGGGCCAAACAGGAACTGCTCCTGTAGATCGAAGGTGTTTGGGTCGTTCGGGAACTCGTACCACATGGGGAGCATGACAGGCGCCCCAGATGCGTTTGCTGCCCTGAACAGGGTGTACAAGTAAGGCATCAGGCTGTAGCGCTGCTGGATGGCCCTGCGCATGCGGTCCACGGCCTCCGGCCCAAACAGCCAGATCTCGCGCCGTTTGGTGTCGATGTGGGCATGCTGCCTGAAGAAGGGGTAGAATGCCCCCAGTTGGGTCCACCTGGTGAGGAGTTCCTCGTCTGGGTTGCCGAAAAACCCGCCCACATCCGCCCCACTGTAGGGCAGCCCAGTCAGCCCCAGTGACAGCAGCATGGGCACTGAGACTCTGAGCTGTTCCCAGTTTGCTGTGTTGTCCCCAGTCCACACTGGTCCCAGCCTCTGGGTACCTGCAAAGAATGCTCTTGACAGCACAAAGGGCCGGTCGCCCTGCCGCCCCTTGGTCTTGTAACCCCTCGCTATGAGGCCGTTCGTCGTGGCCATGTGGTAGAGGTAGCCGTACATGTTGTGCACATCCCGGTGCTCCACGTTGCCGTGGTGCAGGCAGTCCTTGTGCATCGTTATCTCTGGCCCGTTGAACACGCTGGGCTCGTTCATGTCGTTCCATATATACAAGTGCTCCGTGGAGCCCACGTAGTTCTCCACCAGGAACTGCGTGGACCACCAGTCCCTGACCACTGGGCTGAGCACGTCCAGGTATGAAGACGAACCTGGCCAGCACCACCCATCATAGTCATTCCCGTCCTTGTTCTTAACGTAGTGCCCCAGGCGCTCCGCCTCTTTGTGCACCGAGTACCCCGAGTCCCGCTTCATGTGTGGATCCACAATCGTCACCATCCGCCTCCCCCGGGATGCTACATTCTCCTGCATCTTCACCGAGTCCGGGAACTTCTTCGCGTCCCAGGTCAGGTACTTCTTGCCGTCGGTGTGCTCGATGTCCAGCCATAGGACGTCGTACGGGATGCCGTGGACGTCGAACTGGGCGTCCACCTGGGCCACGTCCGCCTGGTCGTTGTAGTTCCACCGGCACTGGTGGTAGCCCAGGGCGAAGAGCTGGGGCATGGCCGTGGTGCCCGTCAGGCCCGCGTACTGGCCCACGACTTGGGCGGGGCCGGGCCCCAGCAGGAGGAACAGGTCCAGCACGCCGCTCTCCGCGATCCACTGCGTGCCGGTGCCCCCATCCACCCTCTCCACGTCCACGAACATCTCGGACGCGTCCATCCAGAAGGCCCCCACCGTCAGGCCCGCCCTGTGGGCCAACATGAGCGGGATCGAGCCGTACAGGCCGAACGGGGACTCGTGAACGTACTCGAACACGTCCAGGTTGTAGAGCCTGTACGGCTCCTTGGTCTCATTGCCCTCGACGGTGGGCTGCAGGGACAGGCCCGTGGCGTGCTCCGGGATGCCGTACACGTGCCCGAACCCGCTGAACTCCAGGTCCAGGGAGATCGCCTGGGGGCCGCGGGGTTTGGAGTCTGCGTGGGTCTTGAACTTCTCCTCCCACCAGCCCTCGGGGTCGCCGTCCTGCCTGGTCCGATGCCGCTCGACGTGGAACAGGCCCCTGCCGTTGAGCCTCATCGCGGGCGCGCCGCCGATCTCGACGATCAGCCGAAATGGCGAGAAAGACAGCCGGATCTCCGTGCCTTCGAACGCCAGCGACAGCTCCGTGGCCGTCAGGCGGGGCTCCCACGCCCGGCCCCACGCCGGGGGGTCCGCGACCAGGACGTCGGGCACGCGGAACCGGTCCACCGGGGAATCGGGCTCCGTGACCTGCACCCGGAGCCCGCCCTCTAGGCGGGATAGCTCCAGCTTGAATGTGGCCCCATCAGCTTTGTTGCGGATCAGGGCGGTCACCGCCCGCTTGCCCGCCACCACGGAGTCCGCCAGCACGGTGTAGTCGCGGCCGTCCTGCGGGCCGCGGTTGCGCTTGCAGAACGCTGCATCCCTGCACTTCTTGAACTCGTGGTCCTTGAAGCCGGGGACGCCCGGAGGCGCCAGAAGGAGCACGATCGAGAGTGCGATCAGGGGACCGGATCTGGCCATCACAGTGGAAGGGCCCCGGCCGGCGCGCCGCCCGCGAGGCTGCCGAGCTGGTGGCGCGGACGGCTGCGGCGGGCCGAGATCGGTCGCACGCGGTTGGGCTCCGCTTCGTCGTGTTGCGCGGTCTCCCGGGTAGGACCTGGCGGGGCGTGTTCGGCGGCGCGCCCACGGACGTCGTGGGGAAGAGGGGGGCGATGAGGGCAGCAATGGGGCTGAGCTTGCCATTTTCATCTTAAGAAGCCGCTGATGTACATGGTGCACGGGCGCCACTTTCCGGGGGCGGGCGTTACAGCGTCACTGCTCTCGCAGCAGTCGCTGCAGTTGCCCCGACCGTGCCGCGGTGAGGCCGCCTGGGGGCATGCTCATGCTTATGCTTGACGCATGCTCCACGGTATTCTAAACGCTTTCCCGCTTCCGGCTCTGCCAGTTGGGGTCTGTCAATTGCAGCGCCTGTGAATTATGCAATGCCAAACTGCTGCGCTCCTTAGGGTACTTCTCAGGAACTTCTCCTCTGGGAGCGTTTTTCTTCCTTTCTTGTGCACTAGCCCCCTCCTGCTTCAGACCGTGCGATGGGAAGTGAAGGACACGTTTGGAAACGCAGTTTGTACCTGGTTCCTGTTTTCAGATCTTCTGGATGAAGGCAAATTCACATATTCGAACAAACGTTACACATGGAAATGTCCACCATCGCCTTTCGAGGTGAATGGGCACAGCTCTGTCAAATTTTGGCAAATGCAGTCAAAAACTGCCGTTAACATTGGGAAACATTCCCGATCATCGTCCCATGGGTGCACTGCCTGTTCTGAGCAGCAGTTGGGCACAAGTAGCCAAAAGCGATTTTCCACGCATCTGGTACCGAATACAGGGCTGCCCAAGCTGGTCTACATACGTGTTTCCTACCCAACCCGCCTTCGTTTCACAAACTGATATTCTGTACAAGGCACCAATGGTCCAATTATGCTGACAGCTACAGTTCTATCAACATGATGCAGACAAACCCATCGCTGCGGGGTGGTTCAAACTCCACAGCTGAAGGTCGCACCAAAACCAGTCACTTATACATTCTCACAATTGTCACAGGAAGCGACCCACAGACAGCGAGAACAGCGCCACGACGCCACAGGTGCGGTGGAGGCCTGCACACCCAAGCCAACGTCCCAGGCATTTCAGGCCCGAGCAACGACTCAGAAGCTCCCCACGCAGGTGGCCGTCGAAGTCCAATTAGCAGTGAAGAGATCGCACCTGCAGACTAAGTTTGATGGCCCCAGCGCTGCTTGGCATGCCTTTTCCGATCAGATCCTTGTACTTCATCCGATCGGGTGGGGCACGGGTCTTGGCCTTGGCCTGAATGTGTTGAAGAGAATCACCAACAGGATGATGAGCAAGATGAAGAGGCCCACGATGAGGCACCACCACTTGCGCTCCCCAGACTGCCTCATTATGGCCTTCACCTTGTGGGTGACGGCCCCCAGCCTGCTGTGCACGACATCCACATCCTCATCCAGGTCTTCCAGCAACCGCGCCTGCAGGTCGAGCTCCTCCCCCATGGCAAGGGCAACGTGCTGCTCAGAGCCACAAACAGAACATACAGCTTCAGAAACTGCACTCCGTGCTCTTCCTCTTGCACATGCAATCATCGCTTTGGCCTGAGGCAACATGAGCCTGCCAAGAATGTTGAACAAACTTTGGCTTTGCAAAACAGACATGCTTCAATGGCCATGGTGAGTCAGGTACAAGTCAACAACTGAGCACCGATTTGGAAACAAGTAGAAACTGGCTGTGCACAAGACTGTCACGAAACAAGAGGGGACAGGCGCTGTTGTGCCCAAAAGCATCTGCAGATTCTGAGTGCACTGATCAAAAACCAAGCCGCAGGCCATGCCCCCCATCGCTGCACCTAGCCCGCTGGCACCCAGCTTGGAAGCTGCACCTTTGTTCCCTTCACAGCCTCCTCTATCTGTGCCATGTCCTTGTCTTGTTGCTCAATCAGCTGGTTTTGCAGCTGCAGAAGTCCTGCATTCTCAAGACCAGCCGTCTGCTCTGTTTCGCGTCCTGGGCGCTGTCTGGCTCCGCCCAGGAGCTCATTCCTTGTGCACAATAGAAGAACACATCCTCAGAACCCCATTGCCCCCCACCCTGTGCCCCTATCCATGCAGCTTCCCCCAAAGACAGGGGTTACTGCACGCCGGTGGCCATGCAGTACAGAGCCAAGCAGAGCAGGAAGTACAAGCTAACTGCAACGATTCCCAAGTCACCCAACCTGTGGTTTTAGGCACCTGTGCTGCTCAGTGCACAACACCGCAGGCACAGCTCACTGCACACGACCACATCTTTTGGCTAAGCTCCAACCAATGCAAGCAAATGGATGTCTGCATGCTGCCAAGTACCCGCACTGGCAACCTGGTACCAAACCTCAAAACTGCTTGTGCAAACTTATGGTGACAGCGTTCCTTGGGCATGTGCTCCATGCTCAATGCTCAATACCATTTTCTTCAGCATCCAAGGGCTGGGACAGCTCTATTTCGGGCATTGTCGATCGTGTGCCGGCATGCTGCGCACCAACAGGCATGGACCTCAAGTCCGGCGTGCAGGTTTCCACTGATGCAAGCACTAGACAAGGCATGCCTGCATGGACAAAGGTAACTTGGCCAAGCTTCACCTGTCCTGCTTCGCGCTCTCCCTTTTCAAGGACTGCAACAAATTCTCCCGCTGGCTCCTCAGGGACATTATCATATCTCTCCGGCGATTTCTCTCGTTCTCGCTCCTGTTAAACCCCCAACAGAGACACACGCCAGAGTCAACCTCAAATCCACCCGTTTACAATCAACACTCACGCCGATGCTGCGTGCACGACACGGCGCAAATCGCTTCGGTCAGCTGCGGCCGAGTCGCGAACATCGAGCACAAACTTGCACACGGCATTCTGGCCGGGCTGCAACACGGGCAGGCCTCCTGCACCACCACATGGGGAGCATGCAGCCCGAGCCAACCAACTTGGGGTCAGCACCATCCTACGTCCACGCGGCCAATCAGCTGCGACCACGGACCATCGGCCATCTTAAGAACCAACTCTGCGACAGATCATTTCACCGACTCACAGCTCCCCGCATGCCGCCGAGTTCAGCGCCTCCTCCAGCTCGTCGATCGCCGTGCTCAGCGACCCCAGCTTCCTCCTCGCGGCCGCCGTCATCCGCTTCCCCTCATTGGCGCCGTCTGCATGCTTCAGGTTGCGCTCCTGCGGGAAAAAGGCAGGCGGACGTCGGCCCAGTCATCCCCAAATCGTCAACCCTGCTGCCGCCCTTCACGTTCAGGGGTCCGGCGCGCCGCACCTGAATGAGGGCCATGATCTCCTGCGCCAGCTGCTTGGCGTGCTCGTGGTCCTTGAGCCATGGCTCGCTGTCGAAGCTCAGCCCTGAGCGGATCGCGACAAGAGAAGGGTGGCGATAAGTTGGGCGGGCAGGGTTTGATGATTGATTTTGGTTGGATTGCGAAGGCCGACATGGGAGCCTCCTGGTGGTGGGTGCGCACCAGTCGGCATGAGCGTCGATCAGATAGCTGAGGGGGGGGGGGCGAAGGGGATGGGGGCACCGCGCAGAGGAAGGCCGTCCCGGCGGTGCCCAGGTGAGAAGGGGCGGAGAGGCGCCGTGGTCAAGGGGGGCCGGGGGTGGTCAGGTGTGCAGTACAGAGCGTCCCAGCCCCGCGCTTTGATTGATGGCCACGTCTGCAATGGACGGTAATGGGCCTAAAGGGAGCCATTAAGGCGGCCATTAAACTTTTGCTCTGCGGCTGGAGGGAGAGAGCGCGAATCGTTGGGACTGGGTCCGGGCAGTCCGCCGCTCGCGACGCGGCCGGTGCGTCGCAATGACGAAGAAAAGGAGAAACAACGGACGATCCAAGCACGGGCGAGGCCACGTGAGTGTCCGCGCTGTAGCGCCGGGATCGCCCTGTGGGAACCTTTCACTCGCTCGGGGCGTTTGAGTGAGGCCTCCTTTTTTTTGCGACGCAGGTGCGGCGCGTGCGGTGCGAGCAGTCGGGCGTCCTGGTGCCCAAGGACAAGGCCATCAAGCGGTTCATCGTGAGGAACATCGTGGACGCCTCGGCGATCAGAGACATCCAGGAGGCTTGCGTCTATGACGGTGGGTGCCGATCTCGAGTGCCTCCCGCCCCACACCTGCAAGGGCAGGCCTGGACGAAATCGTGCCCGAGCAACAAACCCTCGCGCTGCCCGCCTCTCCCTAATCAGCGCCACATCTTATAGGATGCCGTTTCGTTCATGCTGTGGGTTAATTCGCAGTGGCCGCCGGGGACTTGTGGGTGGCGGCGGGGCTGATTGCAGGATTGAGACGGTGAATGACCGGTGACAGATTGTGGCGGCCCGCGCAGGGTACACGCTCCCCAAGATCTACAGGAAGGTGTACTATTGCGTGTCTGCCGCGATTCACTCCAAGGTGGTGCGGGTGCGCAGCATCAGAGACCGGCGGGTGAGGGAGCCGCCGAGGAGGTTTGGATTTGGGGGTAAGAAGTAGTTCTGTTACGCCACTCGTTTTCAGGACCGGGGGGGGCGGCGAATTTGGGATCGAAGCGGCAAGGGCTGATTGACCTGAGCGACAGGGCCCGCGGCGACAAGAGGGAGGTTGTGTGGAGGGTTCCCGATCGGGATGCATGCTCAAGACTCATCGGACAGTTTGTGGATAAAGGATTTTTTGCCGCCAGGAGGATGACATGGGGTTGAGCATTACAACATCATTCAGCACATTGTGCGGCATGAACCCATTATCAGGCTGTGTGGCGAAACAGAAACAGTCAAGCCCAGACCTATCAAGATCCACACTGTGGTGCTTCTGGATTTTGGAAATGTTGCCGCTGTATTTGAAGTCAGCTTCATCGAGCCAAGGCGGAACTGCACCTTCTATGGTGAGCGCACCTTCAGGTGCATTGTTCGCCATCAGACGGGTCAATCATCGTCTGAGTACCTTTGCAAGAGTGGCTCCTGCAAACGCGCTGTGGCACGGCCATCTAGCCTTTGCATCGTCCACAATTTGTCTGGATTTGGCTGCTGTTCCTCTCAATCAGGCATTAAGAGTTGTGGCAGCCACATGCATCATCCTATGCACTTATGGCATCTTTGCCTACTGTTGTGATAGTGTACATCTCATAGGCGATGCGGTACAGGTTAAAAAAATGTCAAGCTGTGGGCAATGGCCTCGATTGGTGGCCGATTGTCAGCAGAATGCACCTTAACCATCATCATGGCGCATGGAAACTCAACATGTCCACTTGCGTCACATTTAATGCCATGTTTCACAGGCCTGCTATCCATCCCGTGAAGTGACAGGCATTGCTTGGCCATCCATTCTTCCCCATTTTCTTGCCCAGTGGCCCCTACAGATCTTGCTGATCAAATCAATGGCATTGATGCGATCTCTGCAAAAACCCGCCCCCTGTTGCCATGATGCACCACCAGACATTGTGAGAAAGCTTGCCGTGCATCACTTCATTAGTTCTATTGTCCCCCGCATGCCACAAGGGCTTTGTGAAACTGGACCACAAGCAGGGTGTGCTCACAGAGCATATCTTCCAGGGCTCGCTGGGAACCAATGGATAGTGCAACCACACCAGGATGGTCACCAGTCCTGAGCCTATTTGTGTTGGACGTTAGCAGTTGCTAACCCATGTGTGCGTTCAGTCAGCTATTGTCTCTAGCCATCCATGGCCTCCAAAGTTCAACACTGTTGTTAAAACTGGCAGCGTGGATCGAGCGCCTTGCCGCCACATGGCAGCATGCACCCCAACTGTAGGTGGTACAGTGAGCTATTGCCTCTAACATCCATGGCCTCGAAAACTCAACATTGTTGTTACAACTGGCAGCGTGGTTCGAGTGCCTCGCCGCCATATGGCAGCATGCACCTCAACTGTAGGTAGTACACACAGTCTCTTGCCTGATGTCGCGTCCGGAAATTCAAAAGGCAAACAAATTTTCTTCAGTATGGCAAAGAATTCAGTTCATCGCCAGCCATTCGCCACAGCCAGAGCCCAAATACTAAACCTGTCTAAACTACCCCAGCCTTTGGACACTGCATTGGCCGAGCATTCGCATCTTGGCAACGCAAGTTTGCAGCTGTGGATGTGCAGCCACCCATGCCGCTGATTTCTGCCACTATATCTCACTGCCTTGCTCCCTCGCCCTCATTCTACACATAACCTTTGCAGCCCTCACTTCTTCCCGCCACCCCATCTATTCTTCAAACACTATACATGGAATGAGGCTGCCCACCGCGATGCACGCATCCTCTTCCTCTAGCAATAATCCAGGACCACACTCTCCAAACACATTTCACCGCTGGGATCACCTCAAATGGTGACGTCACCTTCTTGGCGCACACCACAACAACCATGGCCGGTGGCTGGTCGCCTGGTGGCTGAGCCTTCAGGCGCCCACTCACATTTCTCCTGCCAAAGGCACTCCCAGCGGGATGTCCCGATAGCACAGGCACATCATTGTCTTCACCACCGCACACTCTGGAGTCATCTGGGGTCCCGCCTCGACGCCCAGCTCAAGGGCAAGGCTGCCGCTGCGGTACAGCTCCGGGTGAAGGGGACCATTGACGCACTGTGATGCGAGGTACACCTGAGCAACACACTCAAATCCGGTCACGAGGCGTGAATACTGACTGCGCCCTGAATGCACACAACCGGCAGCTGTCTCCACCCGTTGGGCGATGTCAAGCAATTCAGATGGCAGATTCCTTTCAGTGCAAGTCGACACAGGACAGCCCTAATGTGGAAGAAAAAACGCATCCGCTCGAGTGGGTTGGTGCTGTGGACGGTCATGCACTCTAGCTTTGTTCTTCTTCCGGCTGATGGTACCAATCGCCATTCTGCGCGCCAGGATCACCGCTGTGCACCAGCACTGCAACAAGCTTCAGTCAGAAGCGCCAGTTCCCAACCTGCAGCCCCTTTTTCCTCTGGTGCTTGAGCCAAGACATCCAGCCGTCCTTCTTGGTGTCGGGCATGTTGCCAACCCCAAAGGCTTCCAGCACGACGCCGCGCACACCCCTCTCCGTCAGGTCGCCGTAGGCCATGCGCGGATTCGAGCCCGGGACGATGGGGATGCGGATCACCCTTGGGTCCAGCTGTGACACGGAGCAGGCACAATTATGGAGAAGCTGTCAACCTCCACGGACAAAAAACTGGCATCGTACACACACACACGGATGGACATAAACTTTTCTGCATTTTGCAACACGGTTGGCGGCAAGGAGGCGGTGTTCCGTACCGATTGGACCAGCCTCTTCCACATTTGGAGCTGACGCCAGGAGGCTTGGTGCCCAAAGATGCACAACAAAACCCTGTGGTTGGGCTTTTCAACACCACTTTTCCTGAGAATCTCAGATGTCTTTGTCCACAATTCGATGCAAATACTCTCGACACTTCATAGTGACTAATGACGAAGTGACCACGCAATTGGGGGGCAAACCAGCAAGGTTCGCACCTTAAACCTGGGGCGGTACACACCCTCTGCTTTCAGCAGGTACCGCAGGTCCCAGTCCACATCAACGCCCAGAGTGGCCAATACGGGGTAAGACGGCGACTCGAACGCCTGGTACGCGCTCGAGTTGACCTTCTGCGTCCTGTTGCCACGCATCAGCCTCCCGCCAAAGCACACGGCCACCTCTTGCAGGTTCACATAGGGCGGGGTGTATGGCGCGGTCGCGCATGTCATGGAGTCCAGAAGGTTCTGGCGCGCGTCAGAGCGGGGCATCAGGAGGGGGAGCTGAGATCCTGTGAGAATGACCGGCTTGCGAAATCCCAGCAGCATGAGGGACAGCGCGCTGGCGGTGTACGCCAGGGTGTCCGTTCCATGGACCACCTGGGGAAGGAAGTTTCAAGCCGTTGTGAGACTATTGCCTGATTGTAAGCTCTGTGTACATGCGCAAGAATAACAACCACAAAGCCCCTGCACCTTGCAGGGTACGACAAGTGCAACAGAAGTCGATTCAATTGCCAATCAGTGTTCGCTTAATTGTCCACTTCGTCGTTCGTCGCACTACCCACTGTCATAATTTCAATGTGAGACACAACAATCCCCTGATCGTGTCTGTTGAAATTCAATGATTGTGTGTATAGAGACCCACCAGGTGTTGCAGAGCTTTGTTCGGCATCGTTCAATCGATGGGGATTCTCATTGTTTGACACTGCTGCATGCAATCTCACAGTATCTGCGGTGCAATGCTTTTAGTTGCATGCCATTGATTTCGTCCTGGAAGAGCTGTGCAAGGTTCATGCTGTCCTCCCAGTGAGCAATGTGGTGTATGCACAAACAATGTGCAGGGACTGGAATCGAAAAGCAAATTGGGGGAGGTGTGGAACTGATGTGTTGCGTCTCAAACTGAAACAGTTGTACGAAGGCAGGAATGGTGTTCATCGCCGCAGTGACAGCGCGCTCATGCAATCTTCGGGAACAGTGATATCCCTACCCAACTGTGCGGTTGGAATTCTGGGATTGATGCAGCTCCCCTCCCGTTTGGACGTGGAATCATGGGAACAACACCCAAGACAAATGCCGAATGGCGCTCTAAGCTGCAACGTAGTTCTGTATCACTTGTCAGCAATGGGATGTAAGAAACGAAAGGACTTTCCTCCCCAAAACAGGTGTCAGTTGCACACAACATCCACAAACGACATTCAGCTGTGGGCTGATCTGGGGACTGGCCCATTTGGAAATGCGTTTGCATATGCTTACTGGACACCACTCACCCACCAAGAAAGCATCATACAGACTACGATTTTTGTGAAGGATTTTCGCTATCTTCATCCATTCTGGTGGTCCAACCCTGTTGCACAACCCACAGGCTCCATTCAGCACCATCAACAGACAACCATGTCTATAGAACACCCTTAGAAACAGCAGATATGAAGAGATCACACCCAAAATCATTTGACAATTTGCCAGAGGACTACACTAAGATCTGGATGTGAATGTCAAGGGTAAACTAAACCCGATCGTACACCACAAAGTCCAGACTATTTCCCCACACAATCTTGCAGGGGGCACTGCCTATTGACTACTGCAACCACATTCAAAGCAGATGTGGATGTCCTGCCAGACTTTCTTCTACTTCAGGTGATTGCATCTGCAATGGAACCAAACCAGGTACTGAATTTTGGTGGAGAACGTGCCGCAGATAGGATAGCGCTGTACTTTAATCGGTAGAACTCGGCTGGTGAACCTGCTTGGCATTCGTTTTGTGGCAAGACCTTTGGCTTGCATGTTCCCTCTGCCTGAAGAGGACATCAAGGATGGGATGGGCACATTATGCAGCACCATAGTCACAACAGTTTGGCATCAGACAATGGTCTCCACAACAGCATAGGAAGCTGATGCCACACACTTGCTGCTTCAGGCTGTTGCTGCAAGAGCAGGCAAGCATAGATGAGTCCTACTGGTAGTGGACACTGACATGTCACTAGTAAATACTGCACTTGATGGCTGAGCAGTGTACATGGTGAGCATTGGTGGTCTGCAATTGAAGACAGTTGGAGGCACCTACAAACAAGAAGGGTGTGCAGTGTGCTTTTGCACCCCAGGACTGACTTTGGCTGAGGCAACGTTGGACAGAGTTGACAAATGGCTGTCAAATGCACTTGCAATAATCAATACATACCTGCAACTGTCCTTGTTGAAGGCAATATGTAGGTCCAAATTCGCGAAGGCTGTTAGTTCTGGCACCATGTCTGTGGACAATTCGACACCAAATCCCCATCAGAGATGCACACATAATGAGACACAGTGGGTCTGCCTGTTGAAGCACAGGATGCAAAACTGAACAAAAAGGCTGTTGGGAAAGGACGAAGGGCAAGGGTCTCATGCACAGATCCGTCACAGCATCAAAATCAGCAGACTGTGACACTGTTCCACTGTCTAGGGGTCATGTAGCGAAATGGCACGTGCAGGCAGCCACAAATGGAGTGGTGATCAACACATTCAGTGGAGATCAACACATTTTGCCACCCACAAAATGTACATCATTCTTGGGACGGCCTAATTAGTAACTGCATAGTAAAAGGGCGGTGTGCAGGCTGGAGGTGGCAAATGTTCGTGAGCCAGGGATCCCACAACTTACGAAAGAGATTCTCAAGCATGTCGCCCGGCTTGAGTCCCCCATACGTTCCTCCAGTGCCTGTCTTCAGATGGACCCCTTCCTGGTCTGCCTCGTAAGATCGCTGAAACAGATTTGAGACAGGAATTATTTCTAACCAAGGACAGGTTGGGATTTGAGGCTCGTGGCTTCACCAATTCACAACCATTGACAGGTGGGACCAAACACAGCATCACAGCGATGCCGTTGCGGATGCGAGCACGACGGGGCAATCCCGCAAGCTGGCGCCTCCACCGCACCTCAGGGTCCATGCCAAGCGTGCCACCGCAATGGATGATCAGCACCTTTGGAAGAGGTTTCGTTATCATCAACATCGGGCCTGCAAGAAAGGACGCCCAATATCGCAAACATCCCAACAAACGGACAAAAGCAAAGATGGAAATGGTGGCAAAGCACAAAGGGAAAGCCCCCCCCGCCAGCAAATATGCGAATGCCCAATGTCCAGTCCGCACTCCGAATCAGGACCCACTTGACGAGCCTTGAGTGTTCGATCCCTTCTCTTTGGACCTCCGGCGCGCGGTGGGTGCTGCCGACTTGGAGGCAGGAGGCGACCGGCGCCTCGTCGCCACTGCCCCGTTGGCCGCCACGGCCGGCGCCACCGGGGCCTGCATCTCAGTGAGGGCGGACGACTCCACCACAGGGACGGCCGGAGGACCCGCAGGCCCTCCCGCGCCGTTCTCGTCCTGCGCCAGGGCGAGTTCGAGCAGCGTCAAAGCGCGGACCCACAAGGGGACCTCGAATCGTCGCCAACAAAAGAGGGATGCGACGAGAAAGAGTGCCCGCGCCCGGGAACAAAGGCTGCGACGGGCACCTGCGCCACCGCGAGGCATCGGCCGCATCGCAGCGCGGCGCGCCTCTGCGTCCTTGCCGCGCCACGCGAAGACCGCGAGCCTGCCCGACCGGGAGACGAGCGGACCGCGGCGGATGTCTTCTTCACGTTCTTCACCACACCGTCGTCGATCGGCGCGCGCCGCGATCCCATCGGCGCGTCGCACCTCCGGCTTCTTCATCCCCCTGCCCGCTGCGCGCGTCACCTCCGCGTCCGCCCTCCTCGCCGGCCGCGTCGCGCCGCCCCTTCGAGAAAATCTCCCCGTGCCGCGCGCCAGATCGCAGGGCCCCCCGAGCGCGGCCCCCGCGACGGGATGCCGCGCCCCTGGCATGCGGCCGCAGCGCCCGCCGGCGAGAGGCATCGATCGGAGGGGCAGGCGTGCCGCGCCGCTGTGGGGGCGCCCGGGGTTGGCCGGGCGGCGGGGCGGTCGGGGTGGAGGGTGAGCGGGTGTGGGGCCCGGGGGCTCTGCGGTGGTGGGGATCCTGGGCGGCGCCACGCAGGACTGGGCTTTGGGGCTTTGTTCTATTTTAAGAGCTCGACGCTTTAATTTTGGATTTAATGGTATAGATCAGGCAGGCTTCTGAATTCAATGTTGCTTCCCGTTCCTTTCCTTGCCGGAACCTAATGCATTTCGCTCTGGTGTCTCGGCTTTGGGGCTCACCAGCTACTGAATGGGCCGCGGTTTCGGCAAATGGACAGCAGCGCTAATTTGATGTCCTCAAGCGGCCAAAGAGCGAACGGCGCGTTGAACCACATAGGTCCGCCGCGATGGGAAAGGCGCAAGGGGCAAAAGAGTCCGCCCGACCCAGAAACACCCCAGACTGTTCAAAACACCTTAGTTGGTGGGAGGGGAAAAAAAACTCTGCGATCGTGGCAGGAAGAAAAAAAATGCCAGCCGAGCCCGCCTGCCCGCAATTCTTGACCTCGGCCCAGGCGAGCTCGGCGTGCTGCGCGCCCACGGGAGCGGCCCTGGGCCTTCGAGCTGGATATCTTGCGCCAAGCCTGGCTGCTCCTGAAGCAGCTGCTCGCCTTGCTTGGCCGGTTGTTGGGGCGCGGAGAGAGCATGACAGCCAGGTGATGAGCGCGCGGAGAGCGAGATCTCCAGAAAGTTCTCGCCCCGCCCAAGGGGGCCGGGACGCGGGCGTGCGCCTCTTGGCACAGCCGCTCCGGGCAGCGAAGGCTGATCCCCCCCTCCAGACCTGCGTTGCGCGTGTTCCGTGGACTCTTGAACGACGCAACGAGGATTCGCACGTCGCCGACGCGCAGGACTGAAGCGAGCCCGCTGACCGCGCGGTTGCCGCCGATTCCGCGCTGCCTTGGCGCTCTGCATCGGGACCTGCTGGGAAACAGTTTTCAAGGCTTTTCGGGTGAAGATCCTGTTGAGATCGGGGCGGTCTCCGGCCCAACTCTGCATGTTCTCGGGCGCCGCTGTGCGAGCCGCTACCCCCCTTCCTCCACCACCACCGTCATTGCCACCACCACCACCACCGCGGTTGGCTGAATGCATATCTTACTCGTTTTGAAAGTCCCGTCCGGACAACTGCGATGGATGATTGGCCCATAACGTCGGCCTCCTTTGCCACACCACAACATCCTAGTCCCGGTGCAGTGTCATTCTTGATAAAAACATGTCATAGGAGGGCCCCAAGCTCCCGGATCAGGCTCGGCTCGGCTTCGGCTCGGGCACAGCAATGGGCACCGCCCTCCTGGCAAGGGCTTTTTGTGTTGTTGCTCTGGAAGCTTATGCCTCTGCTTCCTTGTTCTCTTCAGGCTATTTTCTGATGGGGAAGTTTTGATGTGGAAATGGTCTTCTATTGTAGAAGGTGATATGGACGCACGCCAAATATTCTTGGAAAAATAATGGGAACAACCTTTGTCTTCTAATGTAGAAGGTGATATGGACACACGCCGGATATTCTTGGAAAAATAATGGGAACAACCTTTGTCTTCTAATGTGGAAGGTGATATGGACACACGCCAAATATTCTTGGAAAAATAATGGGAACAACCTTTGTATTCTTAGGGAGCAAAATGGAATCTCCTTCAGTGGCATCTGCCATTGTTAGCTGGCTCTGGAAGCTCACGCCTCTGCTTGCTTGTTCTCTTCATGCTCTTTGCTGATGGTTTTGTTTTTGCAGTGAGGATACCAGCAAATCAGCACTGGAAGCAAGTCTTCACTCCAAGAAGGAGCACTCCTACTACTACGCGGTACAGGCCTGCCAAGACTCTGAGACGGCACAAATAGACCTTTCACAAAACTTATAGATTTATTCAACGTAGTTCGTGGATAATTGACTACACATATGTGCCATGTAAAGTCTCTGGTACTTTCTGTGGTCCATTTGGGATCTACCCCATGGAGCTTGACTTTGCCGGCCCAAAGAACTCGTGAGTGCATAGGCTCAAAGCTCATTGGAGACTTGCATTTACAGGCTGTGGAATCGAGATGAAAATGTTATGCTTTGCCTACATGCAGAGCTGTAGACAACAACAGCAGCATTGACGCCGTACTTATTCCTGCATGAATCTAAAAATTCAGTGTCGAAATTCGGAATCAAGGAGGAAAAACAAGAGAAGCATCGTTGGCCACAATTCTGCAGTTGTACATAGTAGCAAACAGACACTGTATTCATGCTTGTGCTTTCGAAAAATTGGTTTGTGATGGTGCGACTTGAGATCACATCTAGCCCTTGTATGGCTGAGATGTCTGCACCCAGTGGACGTGTTGGCACACCGCCCATTACCCATGAGTGGTATAATACTATCGATATTGCATCTGCATTGCACACAGCGAAGAAAAAGCATGTGCCCTTGCAACCCATGCGATGGGGCTGCACTGCTGCTGCATGGTTTCACGTTGCCACACATGCTGTACCCTGAATATTGACCCGTGCAACACAGTGACTGATCGATTTCTTGCTGATGGACTGAGTGATTGAAGTTGGCAGAAAATAAACTCATGGGGGGTGCCTGCTGAATATTCAATTGCTTAAGTTCTAAGCAGCGTCTGTATTAGTACTTAGTATGATTCTATTTCCCTTTCCGTCAACAAAGAATTGCCGACTGCAACTCACACATGGCAGTGTTCACATTTGCACAGCATCAAAGGAGGGCTACAGGGGAAGAGCCTGCACCGGCCCCCGTTCACCGAGTGATACAGCGTTCGGCACCGCAGGCCACGGATCATGTGGAGGCGGTGTTTAGTTACCAGTTCATGGATGGCGACAAAGTTGCAAAGGTGTACGTGCCCATGGATGGTGTTGGCAATCTGTCCAACGACCTTATAGAGAGCAGCTTCACCGAGAAGAGCATGAACCTGCAGATCCGTGGCATGAAACAGAACAGGACGATGCAGCTGGCCGTGGCGGAGTTGGACGGCGAGATCGTGCCAGAGGGCTGCTATCACAGGAAGATGGCCAACAAAGTGGTCGTCACGCTGAAGAAGAAGCCCACAGAAGATGGCCACTGCATCAGCTGGAGGAATCTGAGGAAGTAACGTGGCCAGAATGCTGCAGAGTGGCCCCACCCACGGGGTCTGCATGGCAGGGAGGGGCTAGTGAAGTATGGCTTGCGGTTTGCAGTCATGTCAGCTGTCATGTTGTATGTATCTCATGATGCGGCATTGTGCTGGCATACTGCAGGACAGCAAAGGGCATTGACGTCCGCATGAGCAAGGAGCTGGACCATGGATGTGGCTGGCCCTGTTTGGGGTTAGAGGTCTGAAATTGCAACTGTAATAGTGTCCCGTGGAACCCACCCTCACACACAATTGAAATCGGGCTGGAGCGCCATCTACGATTCATGCATGCACGTTTCAGTGTGCACTATTCGAGCAAAAAGGTGGAACAGAAGCTGGCGGCCAGTGCGCTCTGGTGGAGGTGAAGACCGTCTTCATTATGGAATCCAACTTTTGTGCCACTGCTGTTGGTTTGGGTGCCATGCCCATCCTGAGAATTTAGATACATCGCTCTTGCAACGTTCAAGACAGAACAAAGCATGCCAAGACTGCGCAACCTGTTGCTGCTGTCTCGCTTCCACACAATGCATGAACTGGCCTTGGCGTGTTCTCAAAGCAAGTCTAGCAGGTCATGCCGTCGCGTTCGCCGACAATCGACTACAGCTTGTTGCAGTTGATGTCACGCCTATTCCCGCCTCCCCGTTGCTGCACAATCATCATCTTAACTTCCACATCGTGATCTCATGGAGAGTCTCATAGAGTTACTGGCATGGGAATCGGCAAGCTGGCAGACAATTTGCCATCACTGACTGCCCTAGAGTTGCCCTTTCGTATGGCAGCCGCATCCATGCAGAATGTGATAGGATTCGCTGCACTCACAAGTTTGGATGTGTCGAAATGGGCGTTTGCTGACACAGGCATACACAGCATGGTGGTGCTTCACTCGGAAGACTAAAGATGAGTTTAGTGACAGATGCAGCATTGAAGAAGCCTAAGAAATTTCCCTTCGCCTGCAGATCTGTTTTCCTGGAAAGCAAACAATGTTACTGAGGAGGGCTTGAGGAATTTGTCCATTTTGTCAACACTCAGGTATATGGAATTCCATTATATTTTGGCGCACATTACAGATTCCGGCGTCGTGGGTCCGAGTGCCTTGTCATTGCTCGCAAAGCTGGAACTGCGTTGATGCTTACATCGCTTGACAGCCTGGCCCTGTGGGGTTTCGGCATCACAGGACGATGGGATGAAGAACGTGGCAAAGCTGACGTCTCTTAAATATCTGGCGCTGGTGTCAAGCCAACGAATTACAAACTGTGGTGTTGAATGCTTGAAGACGTTGGCGTCATTGACACACTTGGATTTGACTGACAGCTGGGAGGTCACAGAGCCATTGCGGAGAGTTTATCGACAAAAACGTTACACACAACGCTGACGGGACGTATTTTTGATAAGGTAGGAATTATGATCCTTGCTCCTTGACCCAAAAGTGTGCCTGCTGTAATGTGGCTTGGCATTCAGCTGATTGCAATTTCCGTTCTCTGAAAGTTGTCGGAAAGCAGGTTTTGTGCTGATTGTGGATTACTTGCAAGAAGATAAAGAATGTTTGACGGGGGACACTATGACAGTGCCACAAGTGAAACTGATTTTCGCTGGTGAACAGCACTCCGCAATTGTAAAAAGATCACAGGACTACGCTTTGCCCTGTCTTGGATGGTGCAGAGTCCATGTCCACCTCAGTTTCCTGCAATTGCCAATACATTGACGAAAAGGTTTCGCTGAGAAAATTGCAAGTAATTCTGGACATATGTGCGGCCCAACGCACATAATGGAGCCTTGTGAGTCCAGAGCATGCTTCCCAGCTTTCGTGCCAATTAAGCGGATGATACCCACCCAGCAAAGTTTCAGTGTATGTGCCCTGGCTGCTGGCCATTATGTGTTAATAACAAAAGAATGTAGACATTTCGGCCGAGTTTCGAGGTGTTTAGAGCAACAAGATTGTTTCGGCCGATGCAAGAGGTGCACGGGTTACACGATGCCGAAAGAGCACCCTTCCCACAGACCGACACGTGAAGGCAACGCGCCGCAACAAATTGACCTAACGAGGATTTTTTTTAATTCCAAATGTATACATATGTCTAAGAACGAGGGAACTCCCCTGCAACTCTCAAAGTACAGCAGGATCCTTTTCCAGCAAGAGCCGATGTAGGATCCCAAACAAAAAGAAAGCAAGATACCAACATTGTTCATAGAAGCCAGAATGTTCCCGCAGGGGAGACCTAACGAGGATGCGACTGTACGGCTGGTGTTCAACCCGTCCCATGCCCCTGGCCGACAAACAGCACCCTTGCCCAGTGCCCGTCCGACGTCGGCATCCGCGTCAGCAAGCCGCTGGTCGCGCCTTGTACGCCTACTTGTTGCTGGTCATGACCGCCCGTGCCGGCAAACCTCACAGCCGCACAGAACACCCCTCAACTCGTGCGCACCACAGCTAGAAGCAATGGCACAACGCGGGATGCAGCGTGCGGGCCCGTTCCCAAGTTCCCCCGGCTCCTACGCCAATCGGGTCGGGCGGTCGCCGGGGGCCCGCACCGGCCATCGGCCCGCGCCGCCGCGCTCCAGCGCGATGGGGCCCTCGCCTGGGGACCCCGGGGGCGACGGGCCTCCTGGGCCGCTTGAACCCGAGCTGGCGGAGGGGCGGCAGTGGTCTACGACTCTGTGGACGGAGATCACGTCGCTGCGGCTGATGGTCAAGGAGCCCCTGGAGGGCGAGGCGTCCGAGGAGGTGCTCAGCGCGATGCGGATCGTGGTCTCGAGCATGCTGGGCCGACTTCCGAGCCCCGAATTCCAGGTGCGAGCAGCAGCCCAGCCCCCCACCCCACCCCCACCCACCCCCCACGCACCCCTACCCGCCCTCTTCAACTGGCCATTGACTCCCAGCTCGGCCAGACCAGTGCCATGCCAACGTGTCATCGTCGCTGGAGCTTAGTAACCGCGTTGCGCTCCCAGGTCACACTTCGGGCTTCCCGCGACCACATGGCCGCCGTGTTCATGTCCGCGCTGCACACGGGGTACTCGCTGCGCAACGCGGAGTTCGTTGCGCGGCTGCAGAAGGGCTGGGGCAGGGGCGAGGTGGCGCCCGGCCTGGTGCGGGAGGACAGGGAGGGACTGTCCCCAGCGGCAGCTGCGTACGTGGAGTCGCTGGAGGCGAGGCTGCAGGTGATTGTGATCCCTCGTGGTTGCCTTGCTAACAAAGCCCGACTGCGTGTCACCCGGAAAATCGCGAAGCGCAGTCCTTGCGCACGGCAGGCGGCAATGGTAGGAGCCCGTCCACACTGCTGTTTCGTCGTTTCTGTCGCGGAGTGTGGAAGCCGCGGCCTCGTAGAACTTCCGCTTGCTGTCGAATTCGGATGTCACAACTGCCAGGAAGTGGCAGGGCATGGCTCATTCACCTGAAGGCAGACGGCTAGCATGCTTCCAAAAAAACTCACATTCCTTGGCAGCCAGATTTTGCGGTCCAGCTTGTCAGTTTGTCGCCATTTGTGCTCCTCCAATGCGGGTGCCCGGATATGGGCCGCGGGCTCAAGGGGTTCCAGCTATCGGGGTGGCAGCGCATCGCGGGGGGGCGCATCACCCGCAATCCAGATTCAACCACCGAGAAAAAGAAAAGAAAAAAAACTGGGCTTAGCATAACAGTGTTCTAAGTTTGGCATCCAGACTTTGGATCACATAGTCTGCATGTCGATTTCTGCATCGGTGCTGAAACAGATACAACATCCGTATGACTGCCTCAGGATTCTTTAGATGTGGATTGTGGTCTGGCCAACAGAGGAAAAAAAACCTAGGTGACGAAAGTGCTGTTCGGTTCATTGTTGGTTCATGATGGAATGACTTGCAGTCTTTTGGGCATCGCTTAGGAGCAACAGAGCTCCCAATTTGAGATCTGTTTCTCAGGTACATACATGCCCTCAGTGGGGGCATCAAGATGGCACTGTCGTGATTTTTTGGGAATCTCGATCTCTTGAATAGTTAGCGTTCTCCAGAACCTCGAAACCAAATTCCTGGAGAAGTATAGGAATCCTTTAGTATGCAGAAACGACTTACACAATAAACAGGCAACCTGCTAAAGCGTTAGATAAAGTCCGCTATTTCATGGAGCTATGACCTCCAGTTTGGTCAGTGCTGGGCCCTTTCCAGGTAGGATTTCCAAGTTACGGACACGTTTCAGATGTGCCGGCACAGAAAGATGATATGCTGCTCAGTGTCGAGCCCTTCTGTATTCTGACTAACATCAGCAGCCACTTCTGGCAGTCGCCAGCCCAAGCAGCGGCACAATAAGCACAGTCTCCTTCCTGTTCACTACCCATTCCTGCGCTTCTTGGTCGCCGCATTGCCAAGGGTGCACGCAACAGGCACCCTGCGTCCGGTCATTCTGCCAGCGGCACAATCCTCACCCAAGTTTCATGTTGCCCAAGTTTCCTCCTTTGCCCCTGCAGGATCTCCCACCACCCCGGAGGGACGGGAGTCAGCTCCTCGCGTACGACAGGGAGTCGTGCAAGGACGGCGCCCATCGCTTCCAGCCGACGAACAACTGCGTGTCGGAGGCATTCCGCACGGTGGTCAGCAAACTCATCGTCATGCTAAAACTGTCCCAGCATCACGCCCTCTACGGGCCGCCCGGTTCCGACATTGAATGCCCGTTGCTCGACCTCGTTGGCCCGATCACTATCCAGAGGGAGGAGCTGACGAACATCCTGATGTGGTGCCTGCTTGTTGGGCATCACGCGAAGTGTGTGGAGTACAGGATGTCGCTGGAGCGCTGCATGCTGAAGGGCAGCGGGGAGGGCGAGGCAGCAAGTGGACAGGGGCCAGCCCCAGGGAGGGCTTGGATCGATAGGCTCGGATCTTTCTTCCAGAACGGCACATAGAGGATCAACTGGGTGGAAGGCCGGCAGTCGCCGCGAAGGCCGATTTTGCAACACCCAGGATGTGTGTCTAGAATGCGGGTGGCGGGGGGTGCGACCTGGGAGCCGGGAGAATTGTGCAGGAGGGCGCGAGCGAACTTGCAGCAGGGGTGCTGGCTTGCAGTGTTTGGCAGTCCTTCGAACAGATATAGAATTTGTGGATAGGTTCTGATGGAGGAACAGAGCAAATGCTTGCTCTGCTCGGTGTCTGTTGGTGGTCAGATGTGCCTTTTCGGGCAGTCGAAGAATGCCACCATAGCGCGATTGTGAACGCTGGCACGCAGCTGATACTGTAGTGCAAGTGTTGGAGGATTATTGGCCCAGGCTTTGAGCACGGGCACTCAAGAACGATTTCCCCACATAATTACGCCCATTATACTATATTGTGGACATGTAAATGATTGACCATATTTTTGAAGTGGTGCACAGTGCTGATCTGGCGGGAAAACTGGTCGCGGCTGCGAGGGTTCATTGCGATCTACAGCCGTGCTTTGCGTCGTCGTGCTGGCAGACATGGACAGGCGAAACTGAACGGTCAACAAAACACGGCGCCATGTGGACGAGACGATTGGAGCGCGCTGATGCGGCGAACGTACAGCAGCAATGGCAGTTACCGTTGGTCCACAGGACGCCACAGGTGCCCAGAATCCCCATCTTTTAGGAGCACAAATGGTGCTGTTTCTTACTTGCTGCATTGCCCAAACTTTGTCAGCTGTTAAGACGCGCAGACAAGGTCATGCACAGGTTTTTGCATCTTTCCAACTTGAAACCACACTGATGGGCCGGTCTCGCCGATTTGAGCGCCGCTTTCAGACATGGAGAGTGACAACAACAGCAGCAGGGCAAGCCTGGACTCCTAAGCGTCAATGCAACAATGGGTAAAACAAAGGGACAGACTGTAAAGGCCCCATGGCGGCAAGCACCTTGCCCTCACAAGTTCTGGTGGGCACGACAGAGGTCGCCTCGTCTATCAAACAACATGGCATGCTTGCATTGAATCCCAGTGTAGACATGAAGCTGGCAGCGCCCAGCCACGTCGCTGCAGATGCACAGATGCAAGGGCAATCTGAAGCGTGCAAACAGGAACCGATGTGCAACAAACCCGCCAGTGCATGCTCACAAAAGCATCCACAAATCGTCAAGCTCTGCAACCAAAATGTCCAGTGCTTAAAGCCTCGGCTCACATGGCGTCACGTCCCCCCAGGTCGGGGGTCTGAAATGGCTGTGCTATGTGCTGCTTCCTCGCCCGGCCCAAACCATTTAGAGGCGCGACCAGCACAATGATTGAATGGCACATGCCTGTCTCAACAGTCTAGTAAACAGGCTGCCTGATGCCCCGCAGCGTGCGCCAGGTGCCACACTGTTCCCATTTTACCATCGAACGATCCTCACAAGGGCTTCAAAAGCACGGCAGCCCTCTTCTGCACCTGGCCTCACTGTGCATCCGCACAACTGCCTCCGACACACTTGTGAAACACCCAGTGGTCTTCTGGTGGCAACTGCAGCTCTGGTCAGAGGCACACTGTCGCCACAGTTTGTGTGAAGCTGTTGCCAGGAGCAGCATGCCCCTTGGATGCTTCACCAGTACCCCGCCCCGATAATGCACACTCGCCTGTTCAAGCTAATCCACTTGGTCATGAGCTATGGATGACTTCCCCATCAATATGCTGACTGAAAAGGCAGGAGGACCTCTCAGAAATGGCGCTGCAGCAGGTTCTGGCTGGCTGGCTTCGTCTGGTGCTGTGCGTCCACTCGCCCGGCGTGAGAACCCTGCCCATGAAGCCAGTAGGTCAAGAACAAGGAAGCACAGTGAAGGAATGCTATGATAAAGCAAGACAAAGCAGTTAACAGGGCCGACTTGCACAAATAGAGGGCATGGCTGTGACTCTGCCTCTAAAGGACAGAATCTAGGCACCAGTGGAAGCCATGCACAGCATGGGTACTTCAGCAAGACACAGTCATCCCCCAATCATGAGGGCAATTTGTCCTGCTCAGTGGTGTTGTGGACATCCTTTTGGCCATTTACTGGCCAACACACATATAGCATAAAGTAGTCTTGCGGATGTGGCCTTCCACTTCCATGTACTACGACTGATAAGAACACTACATACATCTCTTCAGGCCATTGGCAAAACATTCAGCTGGATCTCCACCTGCCAATATTCAGCGACCAAGGCAGTAAAAGCCCACATAAGTGTGTGGCACACGCACCTGGTGCTTGCCAGCACACAGCCGAGATGATCGCACCAGCCGAATGAATCGCCAGCACTCCTGTTCGAGGCCTGCCGTTGAATCCAAGATGCGTCAGTATCTGCCTGTCACCTGCTGCCTTGCTCTGCGTCCAGTTGCCAATCTTGAGGGTGTGCATCTGCCAGTCTCCTGCTCTGACCTGTCAGCGTAAGCCCAGAGGAAGTATTCTCGCACATGAGTATCCCCCTTCCCTCCCCATGTCCAGTGCTCCCTGTCTCGCCTGGGCACCATTCACCATCCCTATACTTCTAACAGCTACCACACATTCCACACCTTTACCCCGCCCACAAACATACCCTTGACTTGAGACTTCAAACCATCCTCTTCCTTCTACAAAGAACTTGCCGCAAGGCCAAGCCTTCGATTCCAACACTCATTCGCATCATTCTACATACAATTCCAAACAAGGCCGCCATGGCTTGCCCACAACAGCTACACCCAAATGTCAAGACATCTCCACCACTGCCCTTTTATACGGTGAAGCAGCGCCGACCATGGCTCTTCGATTCAACTCCGCAGCCCCTTCCCAGCATACTGGAAAGCGGGCACATGAGCAGCATGCCACCTGCAGCCATTCAATCCAGCTGAGCAGCCGTTCAGAGCAGATTCCTCGTGGCTGGGCATCTGTATGGGCAGCGCCCACAATGCTCTGCAGCAGCACCCGCGCATCCGGCATCTGCCCACCTTGGGCAGCGGCCCGTGCCGCACTCTCGTCGCCACGGTCCCATGAAAATTAACCCATGTTGAGTGAGTCACAACGGATGACAACCCCAAGAGACTCCTGTGCGCCTTCGTCACTTTCCGAGTCCCCCGAGTGAGCTGCCGTCCTCCAGTGGTTGCGTGTGGTACAGGCTGTCATTCCCTGACCTGTCCATGAAGCCATCAGCTATGCCCTGGGACAGCATCTGGTCTTGCGAGTTCAGGTCGTCCAGGAAGTCGAATGTGGCCTGCGTGTTGAGGTCTGTGAACATGGCGCTGCCAGTGGCCGGCAGGATCTGGCTGGCGGGGTTCTGAGCGGTGTAGTTGCCCCTGCCCGTCACCATGCCATTCGACAGGGGCCCCGAGCTGATGGGCCCCCCCGATGCGGGTGGTGGCGTGGAGGTTTTGTGGCGGGACGATGATGAGCCATCCTGCAGAGAAAGGCAAGTTATGAAACAATCGCCAACTTGACCCTGTTCTTCACCACTGAATTTTCCGGTGTTGATAAGCTGTGCAAGCCTTGCATATGGGGAGCAAACTGTGGGAAGGGTATAGGGTGCAAACACTGCTTCGCCAGCTTGGGGTTGTGCCAAAGAATTGTCAGCACATGTGGCTGACCGTTCTCTAAAGAGCCTGGTACGTTTGCACCTGCTACTCTTGTAATGACTCGCCATGAAATCGTGTGAAGATTCGTATATATGTTCCATGCTTGCCTTCCCAACTTTTGGGGCGAATCTATGGGAATCTACCTGTGAAAACTGTCGCATCGAGACATGTGCGTGTAATCCTGTGGCTGTTGCGCTTCAGACCACAGCACTCAGCAAACGCATCCATCTCCAGCGAAAATCTGATGTAACCAGTTCTTTGATGCAGCCAAGCCACCATGACCGGGGACCCTGTGCCAAGGGGTGCTCCATGGTGGCTAGCTGCCAAACAAAGAATCCCACCCATGCCAGGATACACCACCCTGCAAGTCGCTCAGCGCCCTTGGGTCCTTGCCCTCACCTTCGAGCCAGTGGTCTTGTGAAGCGACTCCTGCACAGTTGACATTTCCGGAATGGTGTATGGAGACTGCACAGCAGGGAGGGGAAAACCCGCCAGGTTTCCATTTGCAAGACTGTTACCCGCGCCCGGGTTGCTGGTGGCCGTGGGTGTGTAGCCACGGGATGGGGAGCGTGAAGAGTGGCGCGCACTGCCTTGTGAGCCAGAGCCCGACCCATTTGCAGTCGGCGTGTCCCGTTTTTCATCTTTGGTGGCCCTGTCTGATGGCCTGAACCGAGTGCTGAAGGCGCCTCCCAGCCCAAATGCGCCCCTGTCGAAAAGCTGCAGCACAAGCGATGATCTGGTAAGACATTGGTGCCGACTCAGGACAGCTTCACATAACAGTGGACTGCTGCCACGACAGTGTAGCAGAAACAGGCACAGCTGGGTACCAACCGCCACGAACCTCCCCTCAGGTGCACATAACTGTGACTATCACAAATTGGGCAAGTGCATTGACAAGGAAATAACCAGAGAAGTATGGAAGACACTTTACAGCCATGTACAAAGGGGGCAGGTCGCCACAAGCCGGCTAAAAGCTTCTGTTCGCAGTTGCAAACATAGACAAAAATGTGCCCAGATACCCATCAGGCAATGATTGGCTGCTACCCCCAACAGACTGTTTGCCCCCTAGCTGCCTTATGGAATACCTTGCACATCCCATCAGGCACAAAATGGAGTAGATGACAATGAAATCATAACCTTGCAGCAAGAAGCATCTGGGTCCAAAGTCAAGCAGACTTGAACAAGCCTGACACTGATAGCAACGGCAACAGCTTGAGCACAGGTACCTTGCTTGGCTTGCTGAGCTGCACGAGGCTGGGCTTCAGGTTCTTGAGTGGCCCTTCCACCAGGCATCCCCGGTCTTTAACGTGGTTAAGCAGTTTGTTCCAGAGGGGGTCGCGTGAGAGGACCTTAGGGTTGCCAAGGACCACCAAGCCGTATCTTGCACGAGTCAGAGCGACATTGAGCCTCTTTGTGTCGCTCAAGAATCCAATGCCCTTTTCAGACCAAGAGCCAAACCTGTTAGCCAGCTGTGTAACACCAGATTCTCTCCAGAAGACACAATCGAAAATAGGTTTCAGTAGGTTTGAAATCAGCATGAAATTTACTTCAGTCCACCATATTTTCTGCATGCTTTGTTTCATCTGTGTTAGCACTAAATTTTTGTCTATTTCTTCTATTATTGTAGCTCTTTGGATTCCACCTGTTGACGCATATGACAGGGAACCCTCAACCTACTAGCCAACAACAACAACAACTAGCCAATGTCTCGCAGCAGTCAAGTCTCTGCTTGGAATTGCTGCAAAGTGTAGTCCGACAAGAAAGCACGCATTTTGCCTTCAGCACTCCTAACTTACAAAGATAGCCCAAGAAGCATCTGCTGTTCATAGGATTTTCTGTTTGGGTTGCAGGAGGGAACCTTGAAAAACTCATGTATCGATACTACAGAAGCCAAGCGGCACATGTCGCGCCTAGTCACACTGGCTGCCAGCGGCTACCTACTTGGCGCTCATTGGACCGAACACATGACAGGATGATGAAGTCCTTTTCCCGTCCCTGGAATGAATCCACGCTGGCAACCTCCATCTCCCGATACAGCTGGGGGTTCTGAGTCCCCATCCTAAGCATCACGCTCATAACATGCGCACGTTGTCCTTCATAAGGGGTGATCACTCCAATCTGGAACACAAACACACATCCTACTTTGAATACATACAATACAAACAAATAACTCTATCTGCATACAATTTGGACAGCGGACGGCTGGCACAGCCCCTTCCTCAGCATGCTGCCCCAGGCGACCAGCACTCCGCTGCACAGTAGCCACCCGTCACGAAACAAAAACCAACGACTCTGGGACTTGGTGTTTCTCATTGTGTGGCCACTGTGGACATCAGGCAATGCATTCTCTCTGATCAACCCACTTCAGCAGCGGCCCAGACCACTGCTGTGACTGCTGTGTCATCCTCAGGCCGACTGCAAGGATATCCATTCAATTCGTTCAAGATGGTGCTCTTCACCTGCGCGGGTTTCACTCCACCCGTAAGGAAGGTGGTCACGATCTTTTCAACACAGATAGCCTCCGTCCTGTTCAGATAGGATGTGCCACTGGCGCTGATCTCCTCAGAGCCCATCTGGACATAAAACATGATGGGCTTCTCAGGCACTGGCCATGGGAAGTGCACGCCTGGGTATATCCTGGAGCCCTCGGAGACGCCATTCTGGAGGGAGCCCTCATAAAAGGTGTCGGAGGGGAACTCTGAGAGGCAGGGGTGCATGCGGTACTGCACTTGCAGGCGGATGGGCTTGATGCCCAGCAGCATCAGTCGCTCAAAGAGGGACTGGGACAGGCCTGCCTTGGACACCTGTTGCAGGACACCCATGAATGACCCAAAGTGGGTCCAAGGATGGTTCAGAGGAGAAAATGAGGGCAAAGGAGTGAACTGATCGTGTGAAAAGGAGGCAACAAGTGCATGATGTTGTTCCTGGAGCCTTTCTTTCTAGGAGATTGAGAACCACAGGTTGTGTAGAAATAACGACCGTGGGAAGATTCCATTTGCATGTGGACGACAAGGCTACATAATGCGCTGATCAAAGTGCAAAGGAGGCAGCAAACAAATATTGGCCGCCACACCTCTTGGAAACACGACAGCTGCAGTTCCCATGTTAGCAATGCAAGCATGACTGTGTTGGGCAGTGACTTGTCATGTAACAATCCTATGTAACAACCAAGATTGGTGGAGAGACAGCGCTTGCCACATTTGCCAGCTACGATCTGTAGCAATGAACAGCTGGCTGCGCGCTGCTGTTCTGGCTGCAATGATCAGCCAGGTGGAAAGGGGAACAACTGCTCAGCATTCCGCGATGTGCGGTGGCAGCAAGGGCACATGCCACAGGGTGTCAGCCACAACATCCTCTCGCGTTGGTGGAAAAACAGGAACCAGCCATTCAGTCGCCCAGTTTGGATCAGTGCAGCCCATTGAGTGTTTCCAGTGATGGAAATGAGCAACAACATGTGGCAGATGTGCATGCTGTGTCCAACACGGTGTGCCACGCAACCCAGTGACAAGTGGTCATAATTGCTGTCGTCAGGGGTCCATGCAAGTAACACCAACACTGCCATTGCCCAATGCCTGGACAACGAATAGCATTGCCCATTATGTGGCAAACAGGCAGCATGTGGCGGGAATTGCGCTGATCGCAGTTTGCTTCACAAGAAAACTCTGCAACCACAGGATGGGCACTTTTCATCCACACTGTTTGTTCCCAGGAGTTGAACAAAAACTGATGCAGTGTGGCTGACTGTGGCTAGCTGAGTGGTCAACCATGCAACAAGAGGCATTGCGCACTGTGCAATGTGCAGTGGGGATCATGCCCAGCAGCAATAGGGGTGCCACAAGGCCTGAAGCCACAGTGTTCTCTTGCATTGGTGAAAAACCAGAGGGTCTGTGTTAAGCCATCCAGTTTGGATCAATGCGTATGGCATCCAACCTTTGGAATCTGGCAAATATGGAGCCGGCAGCTAGCATGCAGCAAATGTGGTTGCATTGGCCTGTGGTACTATTGCATGAAAGCTGGCACACATGCTCGAATTGTGGCGGCTACCAATACGATTCAGAATAAATCCGGGTTGAGCTGTCGAACCTGTAATTTGGTGATCAAAGGTGAATTTCAGACCAACCACAGCGCAAAGTCAATTCCCAGACACAACCAGCCTCTCAAGAAAAGATAAAGGGGTAGAGGGTGGAGCAGGCCCACATTGACACAATAACAGACGCATCAAACAGGGGCTGTAAGACATGCACAAATGAGCACCATGGTAGCTCAATTCAAGGCCTTTGACGCATGTTCACAACCATTGAGTATGGCTATGTGTGCATGACTATGACTGCATGTACACACAGGGGCACCGCCCAGCACTGAGGCACTTACCGCTTTGTGCATCACAACTGGACCCAGCTGACAGTGATCACCAACCAGCACAACCTGCTTGGCGCCCATGACCATGGGGATAAGGCACTCAGGCTCTGTGGCTTGTGTAGCCTCATCGATGAGCACCTGGAAACATAAACTCAAGCACTGTGACCACCTGGAAATGTATCATACCCACAGGGAGATGCACTCTGTCACAACAACGCAACAGCAGCAACCTTCTACAACAAAACTGGATAACTACACAACCTTGAACACATTTCTTGTCCCACGGCAACCAAAGCAGCATGAATGCCTCTGTTTCAAAAACCAGCAGATGGTGACATGGCAGCCATGGTTGCCTGAGGCTGGTGGCCTCAGCAACCTCCCAATCAACAACAAAATGCAGAATAGTTTGGTCAGTTGGCCAGCCCAGACAGTTCTGCTTGGCACTGAAGCACATGGATTTATTAAAGCGCCTGATGAAAGCATTCATGAGAATGCACTAAATGCAAGCATACATGAAGGCAATATGGCATTGAAGCCCATAGACATAACAGCATCGAAATGCACTAAATCTGCAGCAGAACCCAGGCATGGTGTATAAGCCTGCCGTTGACAATCCTGCCTATACACACCACGCCAACCTCAGCTACAGCTGCACTGTAAACACCCCTGATGATAACTCTCATGCCACTTTCATCTTTCTAGGGACCACTCCCTGAAATAGGTCGCCAATGCTAGGAGAACAAGCCAGCGCACCTGCTTGAAACGGAAGTGGCTCAGCCTTGGATCGCCTGCACCCACACATGTGCAGCACACCACATCCGCATTCTGCAGGATCTCCCGCTCATACAACCGTCTCAGCGCCTTGTACTTCTTCTCATCGGCTGCGTCCAGCTCACCCTTCTCCTCTTTCAACTGCTGCAGCTTTTGAAACTCCTGCTTGCCCGGGATGCGCAGGTGAGCAACCTGGTAGTGGAGGGTCAGATGCTCCACAGGCGTCCCCAGCGCTTCCCTGGACTTTGCACAAACTCGCACAACCTGCAGACAACATCTCAAGAGGTATTTCATATGTCTTTGCCCATTGAAATCTGAGAGAATTGAAATGAAAAGTATTCTATGGAGAACGGGCTAAGCTAATCCTGGTACAGGACCTGACACACATAGACTTTCTCTTTTTCCAACACCATCGACCTTCTGCCCCAGCAGGCACACCAAGGTTGTTGCTTCTTCTTCTCAAAATGTCTTCTTCTCAAACAAAACTGTCCAATCTTACGAGCAATATTTCAGAGGTCATGCAGCCACCCGATCCGATGGAGGAGCTAGCTGGGCCGTTTGTCAACCCCTGAGAAGGCAAAAGGGTTGTGCAGGGTTGTTGTTGCTGTCATTCACACTGCAAGGGACATCAGCACAGGAAAGTGGTATGGGTCCAACCCGTGCTGGCGACGAGTGTGTCCTCAATCTCACAGGAAATGTAGGGACTGGGTTTGTGTTGCTTGGTTTGTTGCCAACTGCGGGAGGGGTGGTGAACTGTGTGAGGAACTATGACCTGCAACATGGAAACAGACGCTGGCGGGACGATTCTGTGGCTGTCGCTTGCAAGGGCTTTCTGGAAAGGAATAATGAAATTCAGGTGAACTGGGGAATATTGTGTCTTCATCAGTAAATGAAAGCATGTTGCGCAATGAGCACCAGCTTGCAAGTATGAGCAACAGCATGGTGGTTTCCATTCTGAGGAAGCCGATGCAGCACAGTGCATAAGCACAACAGGCAACATCAGACACACTGTCAAGCCAATGCACAATGCAAGCAATTGTTCTGGTCATGTGCAGGCTGCTGGAACCACCAAGAGCTGCCCACAACTGCAGGTCGATGAACAACCTTTCAGCATGTTGATTGCACTTTAGGCATATTTTGCTGTTGGTGAGGCACTTCAGCATTCAAACCACCCAGAGGGCCGTTGAAATTTGGCACTGAGAGTCCATCTAGTTCCAGGACCTGACAGAAACACAGCCAGCTGCAGACCAGGGCAACAGAAGAGACTTTCAAAGTCTGGTGAATTGATATGGCAAATTGTTCCTCAAAGCCTCAACATTCATGATTGCCAGCAACACAACAACTTGACAAATAGCCAATCTAGAGCATGACAAAATGTTAACAGAGCAGCTGCAACTGCACCTTCAGCCCAGTAGCGCTTATCTTCTCCGCCAGCTGGTCAACTGCAACATTACTGGGGGCAGCCACCAGCACTTGGCTGTGGCACAGGGTGGACAGATGGTACACGATTGCTGCTGTTGTCACTGTCTTGCCCGTGCCAGGCGGCCCCTGGATCAGGCTCAGGGGCTGCTGAAGGACGCTCTTGACAGCCATAACCTTCAGGGGATGCAGGGTACATGGGTTAGTAGATGTGCTCATCCCTTCAGTGAGGCTCTGCCAGTTCAGATTGGCACGTCACCAATCCACTATGCAGGCATGCATACCTTGCACAGTGCAACAGGTTGATACTGGATAGAAGTTGGATGGCATTCAGGCATTGTCCCATTCACTGAGAAGGCCATTTCAGCCACCGAGGGCAATAGATAGAATACACAAAAGCACAAAACAGCAAAAAAAATAGAACAAATATTAATCCTGTTTTCATCACAACAATTTCGCCCCAACCTGCGAGTGGTTCAGTTCTGGCAGTCCCTTGACCGAGAAACCGCCAGATGGCATGGGCACTTTCAGATTCTGGGTGGTCAGATCGTGACCAAGCAGCTTGTGGTAGAGGTAGCCGCTGACAGATGTTTCGTCCACAGCAAAGGTCTTCATTGCTGTCTGCATGCGGTCAAAGGATGTACTCTTCCACACATACTCCACTACGTAACCAACTTTCACATCTTCTGGCACATTCTGTGGCAAACACAGACCAGGTTTGTTAGCAAATCCACAGACGCTGCAGTGCATTCATCCTGGCACTGTTTAGCACTGGGATGCCAGCAACTAAGTGGCCAGGGGGTGAAGCAAAATACCAGGATTCCGATCACATAAAATGGATTCAAACAACACAGCAAACCACAAGGGCAACCTCAGAACGCTTTCCAAGTCTGAGAGGTGGAGTGTTCATTGGGCCCTGCGCAACAAGGGATGCATGTTCCCTTCAGATCACAGTGACAGGAAAGAGGGCACAATCCATTGCAGCTTCATCTCATTATTGCAGATACTTGGCAAGGTACATGCATAAGAACGTTCATTCAAGCAGACTTCATTCTCAAGATGCGCCAAAGCATGCAGCAATCCAGTGCCAATCGCTGGTCTTACGAAACCAGCAGATCGACACATGCAGTTTCCAAAATGGCCTTGTTGATCAGAAAGGCTGGAATTTCCTGTGCTGCACAGTTGCTGGGATCTTGGCACACACACGATAGTGTGCAATGAGTTCAACCACTGTGAGTGAGTCCAACAATTGCAAATAGGTGCAAGGCCAGCTATGCATCATGTTCTGACAATTGCGATGAATGCATATTCAGAGAAGCATTTGGTTTCCTTCAGTTCTTCAATTCTTCATCCGCTCATTATTCATGTACTCAAAATTCAATGCAGGTATTTCAATCGTACCGCAGACTTCATCTCCAGTGCCACCTCCTCAGTCGCATCAAGCCTTATGACCTGGCCAACCCCTTCCCATGCAGGGCCATTGTTGGGGCAATTGTGGCGGAGGCGAAGCTCATCACCAGGCATTAGTCGCAGCTCGTTGTCATCCTGCACCACACCGTCACAATCAACTCAACTTCAGCTACATCATCAAAGCTACTGACGAGTCTGGCAAGAAGCTCGCTCAGGAAGGTGTCGCTCAGGCCATGATCGTTTTAGCTCGCTGATAAGGAGCTACAAAGTTGACAGCAGCACACAGCAAATACTGATGTGTTCCATTGATGGAAGAGGTATCAATGGCAATACATCGCTGCTAGCGAGCACATGTGCGGGCCCCCCACCAAATAGCATTCTGGCTCTATCCTACGCTGGTAATGTTTAACGCTCAACGGAGCAGAAACGCATCACCCTTTGATCAGGGACCACAACACCAGCCTGAAGGCAAAAAGAAAAGGCCGGCAAAAGACAAAAGTGCTGCAGGCATACAAAGGAATTAGAAGAAGTTGTGTAAGAAAAGAACTTCCGCTGCGATTGCACCAAAAGTCACGTCCAACGACACACTGCCCCAGCCAACAACCTGCAGGTTTGGCAGCGTGGCAACGATGTGAGACAGGCATGAATGTGCGACAAGAGCAGACCAAACGATCAATAATTACCCCAACGGCTGAGAATATTAATGGTCCTATTTCACTCTGCAGCATGTGGCAGTGCGATACGAAGCAACAGCTGATCTCTTCCTGAAAATGAAATTTTCCACACCTTTGAAAAGTAGAAGTATGCAACGAATTTCTTGTTGAGGCCAACGTCCCAACGTATGGTAATGTTGTCCTTACTCTGGGACACTTTCACAGCCTGGTCCACAACACAGATGGTTAGCTCCCTTGTTGCCAGCAGTACACACTAAGAGGAAGTTCAGATCGGCAACCTTGGTTCGAATTGACAAAGGAAGGCCCATTCTCAAATGCAACATCGTGCCAGATTAAGCAGATCGGCAGCTTGTCCATGGCACCTCGCAAGGCCTCATAAGCTGTCCAGGCAACACTGTGTTGCAACATAACAATGCAATCAAAGCAGGTGTGTCTTTCTTGTACTGGTCATCCTCTACCCTCCAAGCTATTTTCTAGAGACAGGGAATGCAGGGAGGAGGGTGATACTGGATAGGAATGAACAAGGAGCATGTGCAGAAATGCAGCACGTTGGAATAGCAATAACCTTGCATCGCTGTGCCTGCGACCCACCTTGTCGTATTCAGCCTCCATCTTGATCAGCGGTCCAAAGACGTGCTGTGGCAATGCAGACACAAGCAAACATATCAGCTTCTGGCCTGCAAGGTCTCAATCATGCCCAAGCCACATAACCTTGTAGACAACAATGTGGTGTTGTGCTGATCTTTAGGGCACATTTGCAACGATGGAATGCAACAGAAGTCCCTCAAAGACTGTAGTCAACGCTACCAGTTGTGCTAGTCAATGTTGCACGTTTTCTTGTACAGTACGGAAGTGGTCTCAAATACACAGGCAACGGCAGGATGGTCTGTGTCAGATGTATTATACCCTCCACTCAACATATTCCCCAAAGCAGAATGCCTTTTGAAAATTTGTGCATGTGGGCACATTAATGTTGTTTCATAACAAGCGCTGACAGACATATCATACTCTACTGTCAAAAGCTAAAGCGATACCTATGCCAACCTCGCCCACAAGCATCTGTCCATCTCCAGCCATGTGCAGACTCTATGACTCACCATCGAAAGAAAGATGCACACAGAAGTCACAATGCTGCATCTTGTGTTTGCACTTCTATCTATCATGGCCCCCCGCTCTCTTCTCTGCTCGAACCCCAGGAGATTCAATCGAAACAAAATCACAACTGTAGGTAAAGGGATTTATGGCACACAGGATGGATACAGGATCCTCATGCCTGGCAGAATTGGCAAAATTGGCAAAATTTAGCAATACAGTCAGATATGTTTGAGCATGCTAGGGCCCACAAATAGCCGGGTGGACTCCGATAGTTGCGCATACAATCACTGTACCCATACAGCACAGAAAAGCCTGCAAATTTAATGGCCAAGCCTTGTTGGCACTTCGGACTGCCACTGCAAGCACTTGTCCAGAATTGTAAGGTTTTCAGCTTGTCGGCCAGTTGGATTAGGTTACGTTAGTTCAAGTTGTTAAGATGACTGCCACTTTGTCCCATCCAAGCAAGCCACTCTGAAAGTCCCAGTTGTGTGGTGAAGTGTACTACCTGCACACCTGAGCGCAATTGCAGATCCAACCACTACAAAGGTAAGGTTTAAATTTTGTCAAATTCCGAAATTGCTCTGGAGTGATTTTTTACACAATATCAACAGCTACCATCCCATGAAAATATGCAAGTCTCCACTTACCTGATACTCATAAGCATCCTCATACTTCAATGCCACAGGCTGGGGTTCTTCATCCACCCCCGGCTTGTCCAGATCATCCACAGAGGCATTCGGATCCAACTTCCACAGCTCCTCCAGCTTGTTGATCTGCTGCACAGTGATCTGTCGCGCTCTCATGACTTCCTGCTCTGCTGGCTCCCTCACCAGCCAAGGCACAAAGGCCCTCTCCTCGATAATGGGCTGCCAGAGGTGCAGATCCAAATCCAAGTCGCGGATCGCAGGGTGGCTGGGCTGGATCTCCCGCGACAGCAGGACCACCGTGTTTTCGGACTTTACAGGCACAAAGCCCAGCGCGAAAATGTTGCGTGTGCCGCTTGCATAGCACTCTAGGATCGTGTCACCCAGCGGGCTGTCCTTATGCAGCTGGACCTCCTTGCATTTTGACTTCACCTGCAAAAGAGGTAATCAACAAAGGTGAGGAGAAATGCCTTGTCTTGAGGAGATGTAGGATCACCAACTTGCACAACAGCGCTTGAACAGGGGCAAGAAACAATGCTGGGTGGCCAGGGCTTGCTTCTCACAGTGGACGGAAACAGCACTGGATTCACAGCACAACGAGCCCACACAATAAACCGCGGCGCTGGTGCCTAAACAGAGACACCACACCTGGGCTGCGTGTGACAGTTTCGAAAAACACATGGGTGCGCCGTTGGTGGGCAATCAATTGGACGCCAGCCCACAGCCTTTGCGGCAGCCATGCCAACACAAAAGCGCTTGTGATGCGCAGGGTGGCCCGAGCGGCGGGCGCTCCGCGAGGAGGCAAGCGCACCAGGTGGACCACCGCGCAAGATCCCGCCAAGCCCGCCAGCCTCGAGTTGCAGAACCACTTGCCGGTCGTGAGGCACTTGACGACGCACGCCGCGCTGTGGATGCCGCAGTACCTGCGAGGGCGTGCGGCAGATCAGCGCGCGGAGCCAGCGGGCGCCGAGCCAGACGCCCGAAGGACATGGAAACGGGTGGGCGGGACACCAGCGAAGAAGACTCATCAGACTGCCCAGGACTTACGCGCACGCCCACTCCGGAATGTCCTTGCCTTGCTCCTCCGAGCGCTCCTCGTCGAAATTCTCGTCGAAGCGGAGCTGCGCGCGAAAGCACGGCAGCCACGTCAGATGCGCGCGAGGGCAGGGGCCAACATCCGCCAGGGCGAAGTGGCGGCAAGCAACGACCACCTGCAACAGTGCGCGAATCCCCTCCGCCGGTCTCACCTCTCCCAGGCTGGCCGCGACGTCGTTGGCGGCATCGTAGGATCTGCCGGGCGTGGGCGGTCCCTGCGGCGCGGGCGGATCGCGCGTCAGCACGTGCGGGCGGGGGTGCGCGAAAGCAAGAGGATCCGGCCGGTCACGACGCCCGGCGCCGCGGCATCACGGCCACCATTGCGCACCCTCACCACGTGCTGGTGGCCCGATGGCAGCTGGGTGGCTGGGTCCGCCCACGAAGGTGTCTGCGGCACAAAATCACAGCCCGCCCGCCCGTCAGCGCCATGCCGCCCAATCCCGGCCCGCCATGGGGCGCCCGAACCGGCGGGGCAGGGGGGCAGGCAGCAGTCCGTGCCTGGCTGAGCTCCGAGTAGTGGTAGTCCTCCTGCGTGTCGAAGTCCAGGAAGGACAGGGTCTGGCTGCCGCGCCCGCCGGGGTCGCCGCCGGCCAGCCCGTACGCCCCCCCCTGTGACTGCGACCCCTGGGAGAAGGCCCGGGAGGCCATGCCGGCCAGCCGGCAGGGGCCCGCGAGCGCTCGCTCCGGGCCCGCCGGAAAATCCGTACACTGCCGCCGCCGCTGGCTTCGGGGCAGGGGTGGGGGGAGCGGCGCGCTCCTTCCTCGGCGCCCGGCGCGCGCCCGTCGGCCTCCAGCAAAACTACCCAAAACAAAGAACCGAATCTCTGGCCCCCCGCGCCCAAATTGCGCCGGGCATCAATTACCACCCCGGGCCAAAAATGCCCCCCGGGCCCCCCCCCTCCCCCGCCTGCGGCCCCACTTTTTTCTGCGCGGGGCCGGTGACTTACGCCCGCCCCCCCCGCCCCTGCGCCCCGCAGCCTCCTCTCAGTATCCATCGGATTGGGCTGACCACCCGGTGTACTAACGGAGGGGGCTGCGCCTGGGCTCGCCGCTCGGGCCCCTGCCCTTCGACCCCCCCTGAGCGCCGCCGCGGCGCGGCGCGGTGCACCGGACCACAGGAAGCGCGTCCCTGCGTCGAGGAGGGGGCCGGCCCCGCGGTACGTGCCGTTCATGCTCTCGGTGGGCCACACGCGCTGCATCGCAGCGATCGGGATCCCTTGCCCGGAGCTCCGTGGTCGCTTGGGGTGGAGCGCGCGCGGAGGCGGTGATTTCGGCCCTCGGAACCCGGGATCGCCGACCGGCAACTTCGCGGAAATGCCGGCGGGGATTTTTTGTCCGTCGGGGAGCGAAATGGTCGGGCGCGGTCGGCGCCGGAGTGCCTAGGAGGCGGCGACGCGGGGATGCACCGAGGGCTCGCGCGTTGGCTTTGGGCTCGAAGGTTTTCGCGCCCGCATTGGCCGGGGTCGCGGCCGCGCGGAGTGACCCCTCTCGAGCGCCGCCCGCGCCTGGCAGACGCGCACGCGGCGCGCTCACTCCAAACCCATTACGCCGCGCCGCGCGCGACCGACCGCGGCGGTTGTGGAGGCCCCACGCCGAGCCTTTCTGATAGGCCTCGCTCACACTAAGTGACGGATCCAGTCAAGCAGTCGGTCAAGACGCCGCCACGGAGCCGTGGCACCACGCTGCCAGCTGAAGTGCCGTCCCCATGCCGGCGTACACGTTGCTCCGCTGCCGGTGCCAGCGTGTACATCCCTTATCCGCTACCTTGACAGCCGCCGCTGCGCGCCCCGTTCCGCACGATCCGTGCTGTCTCGCGGCCGGTCTTTCACACCCCCTGTCGTCGACTTTCGGGAGAAGGCCGTTGTCCGAGTGGGGCGCCGCCCCCCTCCGGCGTTTCCATGCCCCCCCTCGAGGGTGCGCAAACTGGCGTTGCTGCTGTCCTGAGCCACGCTGCTGCGTGTGGATCGCAGGGCCGGGCTACCGGTGGCGCTGGCCGCCGCCAGCGCGGCGCGGCTGGCGTGAACGCGAGGGCCACTGCTTGGCGCTGACGGGGTGAGTGGATGCTCTGCCGGCGCTCTTTCGGCTAATGTGACTTTGTCTGTTTCGCGGCATTCGAATTAGATTGTCGCGCACGCTTCTCCGGGGGGTGCTGTGCGCAGCCCTGGCCAGTCTGTTTGCCAGTGTGTGCTGTGTACTTGAGGATCGCAATGGCGCCCGTTCAACAGTGTGGTGGGAAAGTCGGCTGAGCGCCTCGCAGACTGTGCGCAAACCTTGCGGCGAAGCTTGGACTCTGCGGTCAAAGCGAATGCGCGGTGCCTGTGGCAAAAACGGGCCGTTGATCGCCGCATATGAGGCGAGAAGGAGATCCGCTGCCGCCCTCGCTGCTTTTACATTCATGGATGTGTGCTGCGTTATCTGCAGGGGTGTGGAGCAGGCGCTTCACATCTGCCCGCAGCTCCAAGATGGACCCGGACAGGGCCAAGAAGGGCCCGTCTCGAATTCCGCAGCTCACAGGGCCGCCTAGGCAGACAACCAGGCGCATTGAGCTGTCGCGGCCAGTTGACAATGTTAGGCCTAAGGCCGCCACCAAACCAGCAGCTCCTGTGAGATCGAAGCCCGCCTCCAGACTGGGGGCCACGGCTCCGAAGCAAGGAGCATCGTTGGAAGCCAAACCCATGGCCAGAAAGCCTGCCACCGTAAGGGCTCTGCACACAGCACCCTCTGCACCAGTTTCACGAGAGGGGTCGCTGCTGAGAAAGGCTGCTCCTGATCGGGACGCTCTTTTGTCCAGGCAGGGGTCAGGCACCCGGCAGAGTATGGCTGCCTCTAGCACAGTGCCAGCAAGCCGGTCCGGTACGGGCCTGGCAAAGATGGCAGCAGCAAAACGACCATCGTCTTCTGCCAGCAACAGATCAACAGGCGGAGTGCCAACAAACAAGTGGAATGCCTCAGTGGCCAGGACACCCTCAACAGGTGCCAAACTGGGCCTCAGTGGAAGGTTTGGAGCCTCCAGGGAAGCGGCCTTGTCAAAGAAAGCAGCCCCTGTCAGGGATGCTGCAGGTGCCAGGCTGCAGCCCAATGCAAGACCTGCATCTGTGGGCAAGCAAGAGGCAGCCATGAGGCAGCCTGGCGGGCTGAGGCGCCCAGTTGAGACACCGGGGGAGGGCTCAGCTGTGGCTGGTCAACCCACAGAGGGCCTCAGGAAAGTAGGACCTTTTGGTCACAGGTCTGCTCTTCAGCAGCATGCCCCAGGCCTTCGCCGTGCGGCACAGGAAGGCAGCCACGGCGTGGGGCAGGGCAAGCTGAGCTCTGGCCTGAGAGGTAGTCTGAAGGCGCAGGAGGCAAGCCAACAAGCAGAACTTTCTGGACGACTGGATGGCAGCGAGTCAAAATCTGCTCCACAGCAACAGGCTGTGTCGAGGCTGAGAGGAATGACGAGCACTAGAGTGCAGGCCACGTCGCAAGTAAGGGAGCCTTCGTTCCGCTCCACATGGGCAGACCCTGCCAGCAGTGACAGTTTCAGGTCGATGCTCACCTCGCCAGGCCGTTCAGCCATCCGGTCTCCCGATCGCTCCTCGTCTATTTCGACTGACGAGATCAGTGACACTCCAAACAGTGGAGAACAGCCACTTTCTGCTGCAGAACTGATGCGAAATAGCACCAATCCTTTCGTCATAGGGCCGATTGAAGGCAGTGGTGCAGGCGGCTCGCGACCGAAAGCAGCTTATCGGGCTGTGAAACGTGGAAATGGGCAGGCCCTTTCTGCCCAACATCTGGCTTCCAGATGCAGCACAGAGCCAAGTGCCCATCCAGACCTGGATGCTGAAACGAGCTTCACTGGGAGTGAGCAGTCCAACGTGGCCTTCACACCAAGTTGCAGGAATGGTGAAGAGGAAACGAGAAGGAGGGCATATCGCGGAAGGTCATGTGTGTCAGTGTGCTCAGAGGGCGGGTTTTCCGATGAGCTGGCTATGCGACAGGACTCAAGGCTGAGTTTTGCCTTGGAGTCAGTCCCGAGCACCTATGGGGACTCTGATGAAGACTTACCTGCAGGTCGGCACTCTGTGAGTAAGAACAGTACACAGAGCAGTGCAACAGGCGAGCTTTCTTTGAAGGACATGAATGGATCCCACATCCGACGACCCAAGAGTGTGGATTGTCTGAAGGGTAATCAAGGTGCCACAGCAGGCTCGTTTCCATCCAGGAATGGAGGTTCAAGCCCATTTGGAACCTCACCCCTCAAGATGCCTTCGTTGGGTCCAGCGCATCCTGTGCGCCTGTCCATTGACTTGTCGCCCACAGGAGACAATTCAGCGCCATCGGCCCAGAGCGAAGGGGATTCGAAGTCTGCAAGCTTGCTAAGCATCGGTTCCGTTACCAGTCTTCCAGTGCGCACAGATGATGGATTCATGGAGCAGCTTCACAAGGAGATCGAGGCCCTCAAGGCGGACAACTCGGCTCTGACTGCTCAGGTCAAGGACCTTGAGGCCAAGACTGGGGCAGTAGCCAAGGGGGTCGTCTCAGGCCTGAAGCAGGATGTGGAAAACTTGCAAACAGAGAAATCTAAACTGCTTCAGGCAATGGAGGCGATGAAATTGGACAAGCAGCGCATTCAGGCAGAGCTTGCACAGTCACAGGAGGAGGTCAAGTGCGTCCTGTCAGAAACACAAGATGCAGATGCAGAGGTGCAGGTGTACCTCAAGCGCTTGGAAGAGGCTCATGGCCGAAAGGAGCTGCTGGAGAGGGACCTCCACTGGTCAGAAGGAGAGCTCAGCAAGCTGCAGGCCGAAAATGCCAATCTCCAGAAGAGGTTTCTGGAGCTTGAAAGTGCAGCAGAAGAAAACAAGCGGTTGTCTGATGACAACATGCAGCTCAAAGAGAAACTCGAGGCAGAGGCCCAAGCAAAACGAGATGGTTTGGATGAATCTCACCAGGCTGTTAACAAATTGGCCAAAGAGCTTCACCTGGTGCAGGAAACCCTCAGTTCAGTACTGGAAGAGAAGGCGTCGCTGATAGAGCAGCTGGCTCGGTCTCCAAAGACACCTGTGGAGCAACAGTCTTCTGGTGACGAGTCACCTGACGCATCAGCAGGCGGTGCCACTGTGCAGAAGGTCACCCAGCTCCAGGATGCTCTGTCCCTCGCGCTCGAGGTGAACAGGTGCATGAAGGAACGCATGGAGAAGGTCAGTGACAGGAACAGCACCGCAACCTCACTGGACAGCGACTTTGCAGAGTCACAGGCAGAGATGGACAAGGGGACGATGCGCAAGGTGAAGGAGCTGCAACAGGCCCTAGACCTTGCACTGGAGGCACAGGACTTGCTGGAGAAGAGGGTTGCTGAACATGAGGAGGTAATTGCAGTGAATCTGTACTGTTGATGGCCTCATTGCAACATCTACACCTTGCTGATTTCAGTGGAGCTGAAGTCCCTGTGTTACTGCCATATCTTTAGCCACACTGTATTTTCGGGTCTGTGGATCCTGTGTTACTTTTGCTACCATGGATATCCCTCCTGTGAAAGGGTAACAACTTTGCTCTCATCGCCACTTAACAACGTCACCAGGTGCACCCTGGCTTAGAGCGGCTGAGCGAGGATCTTCAGAACCTGAAGATCGAACTCGATGAGGAGAGAAGCAGAGCTCAGGACGAACGGGAGTCACTGCAGGCCATGATTCAAGAGCTGGAGAATGATAATAGAAACAAGATGAATGACCTGCAACAGGTGAGAAAATGGGTGATGAGACAGTTCACACTGTTAGGAGCTTGGTAGAATTGCTTCTGTGTGAGCTTTCCAATGCTGCTCAAATACTTGCAAACGATGAGCCCAATCGGAAGTCATGATCCTGGTGTATGGCGTGTCTGATTGAAGAAGTTGCATGATGCCATACTACTAGTCCCTTTATTTCTTTGCTAGTTTGTGAGTTGCCTGACCTTTGGGGATGTCCAGTACCATGCAGTAACCCAACACCACACACATGCTATCCAACATTCTGCTGTGTCCACTGATGCCTTTGTTTGAATGTGGATGTGGGCGATTGCCGCTATGTTTTAGGAAGTTTGGACTTGCTCCTTCTCTCCTGCAGGAGCCATGTTTTCTAACCTTCCCACTGTACTGGCATCAAGAGAATTTCCTTCGCCCCTCCCCCCCCTTTCCAGGCACAGCCACCACTGAATGGCAATTGCGTTGCCCGTTCCTCCATTGGCAGTCAGCGCCGGCTCTTGCATGACGCCTATCCCCGCAGCAAATATCCAGCGAACGGACTTGGTACTTACACGGAACATACTTAAAGTGTGCTGGTGCGAGCGCAGCTGATGGTTGCAACTGTCAGCATGACGATCCTGTTGCGCTGTGCACACCGGGCGAACGCCCAAGAGCGCACCCAGGAGCCCTGCGCCGACCCCGCCAGTGTGCGCTTCTGATGGATGGCAGACCACGTGCAGTTGTATCGTTGTCACGAATCGTGCCGCACGATGGGCTTTCTGCTAGGGAACGTAAAGTTGACGAGGCACTTTTCCATGCGTTCTTGCTTGCTTGACTGGCTTGGTTGGCTTGGCTGGCTTGGCTGGCAGGCTTTTTCCATACTTCCTTCGAGGTGCATTGTAGAAATTTTTGACAGCCCTTGGGGCTGCCGCTCGCGCGGGCGCTCGCCTCTGTCGCTGCGCCAACCGGCTGTGTGTGCCGCGCCGTCCAGGCACGCGAGGAGCTCTCCGCGGCGGTGGACGCCAGGCGCGCAGCCGAGGCGCTGCTGCACGACGAGAGGGCCGCCAGCGAGGGCCTCAAGGACCTGCTGGAAAACCGCCCCGCCAAGAACGGCCAGGACTTCGTCGACCTGGAGTCCGCGGCGCAGAGGGGCCTTGGCGGGTCTCCGGCGCTGGGGTCCGCCCTGGACGTGGACCCGTCGGGCGGTTCGCCCCTTAGCGCCGCCAAGCTGCGCGCCCCCGCGGAGTTCGGCGACGAGGCCCAGCTGCGCCGCGCGGCCGTTGCCGCCGTGACCCGCCTCGAGGAGATGGAGCAGGAGTTGAGCAACGCGGTGAAGGAGAAGTGCGACCTCGCGCAGCAGATGGTGGACATCAGCGTGGCCAGCCAGGAGCTGCAGAAGGTGGTGTTGGAGACGGCGCAGATCACGTCGGAGATGTCGATCAGCAAGGAGCGCCGCGGCGGCAAGGCGCGGGGCGCCCCCCCCTTGGACGGGGCGGCCCTCGAGGCCAGCGGCGCGGATTTCGACGTGGATCTGTCCGGCGCGAGCGACGCCGAGGACGTGTCGATCCCGGCCGGCCAGCTGCGCGGGATGCGCAACGAGATGCGGCGCGCCCTGCAGGAGAAGATCAGCCTGGAGGCGGAATTGGCGGAGCGGGCGCGCAAGACAGCGGGGATCTCCGACGAGCTGAAGGGCTTGCAGGCGGAGCTGAAGGCCGCCCTGGCGATGAAGGAGGACCTGAGCTGCCGGTTCCAGGAGCACCAGGGCGCCAAGGCGCAGCTGGGCGAGGAGAACGTGCGCCTGGTGCGGGAGCTGGAGAAGGAGAGGGCCGCCAATGCGGCGGTGGAGGACGCCGTGGGCGGCCTGTACAGGCTGTGCAAGGAGGTCGAGTCCGCCGCAGACATCGAGGCCGTGGGAAGGAGTAGGGACGACGAGTTTCCGGCCAGCCTGCCAGAAGCCGTGGTGCACATCACTGGCAGGGTGAGGGAGGGGATCTGCGCACTGGCGTCCCGTGGGCGCGCCAGCCCTCCTGAGGCGCCTGCGGGGAGGGACTGGGCTGGCAGCGAGCCCGGAACGCCCAACCTGGGCGCCAAGGTGAGGTTGGGGCCCCCCATGGGCAGTGACTTGATCCTCGGGGCGTCCAGGGCGGTGGACCTCCAGGTTCAGATGCCGGAGCTGCAGGAGGTGCTGCAGGAGCAGGCGTGCATGGCGGGGGCCGGCAGGCCGGGGTCTCAGACAGGCAGCCCGATGGCCGCGTCCAGGGGGCCCAGGTTCGGGTACATGCCGGGCCGGGAGCTGCAACGCGTGATGTCAGAGGGGGGCAGCAGGTGGCGCGAGATGGGGGCTGTGCAGGCAGTCGCACCTGCGCCCGACGGATTGACCCAGAAGCTTATGGGCCTGCAGTCCAGGGCGCAGGAGTTGGAGACGTCTCTCCTCGAGGTGAAGATTGAGAACGCTGAGTTGAAAAGGGCGATTGACCAGGTCCATGGCATCGCCAGAGGAAAGAGCAAGTGACGAATTCATTCCCAGATGCAGCCAGATTACGCTGCGAGCAAGTACGTGAATCGCAGCCCTGGCTGGGATCGGGTGTGGCTGCTGAGTTTCGGGCATGGAGGGCCGCACGACTTCCTCCCATCCTCAGGATCTTTCATGCGTTGTCGTGCCGGCCTCACATGGGTTTGTGTGTTCGTGTACATATGTTTGCGATGGGGGATTGTGGGATGCGGGTTGTAAGAGTAGCAGAAAAACGACCAGAACGAAAAATTTTTCGGGTTGGACACAAAGGTGCTCTTCAGGAGAGTTAATGATGGGTTTGGGCACAGGATGTTGCAGTGGCGCGGGTGGGAGTAAGTGTTAAGACACCCCCTGTAATATGCAGGGAGGGCTGTCCAACGCAAGAGCAGCAGATTGATGCTCTCCTTTTCTTCTGGAATAAATATTGGTGTGAAAGGGGGGGTACTTTCGCGGTTGGCTCGATGGCAGGGGGGGGAAGAATAATTTGTTAGACACTCTGAGCTCTGAAAGCGCTGGTGGGTTTTCCGATCCGCACTTAGCTTGCTGGTTAAACAGGGGTGCCAGTGGGGATGTTGTAGTTTCACTTGAGGCTGTACAGTAAGGACTTTTCCTTTTCGTATTTTTTCGGCCTTGTCGGACCAGCGTCCACAGAGACTAGGGTTGGCAACAGTGGCGGGTACACGCAGAATCACGGGTTGCACCCCCACCCGCCGACATGGCGCCACATGTTGCTGCGGCGTCAGTGTGGGTGGCTTGCAACTGCGGTGGCGGTCGTGGGCGTGTTTGGGACAGCACTTGGCTGGCTGCAAGCGTGCACGTGCCGGGAGCGTTCCGCGGATGTTACAACTCGGGGACCATCAGTGGCAATCAGGGGCTCAAGGCTGGTGCGCATTGCTGCTTGTCCGGGGTGGGAGGAGCACCTAGGCGATGCCTTGCGTTCGGGGGCCAATGTCCTCCGGGCCTGTAGGCACCATTCCTGGCATCAGAGAAGCGGATCAGGGGTGGAGGGGCCAAGGGTACAGCGTCCCAGACTAAGGTTCCGTGTGGAGTGTGCTGTGGCGTGTACAGCCCGCCGCGTCGCTTCACACGCGATCAGGGGTGCCATGCATAAGGTACAATTGTCAACAAAGGCTGTGCGATGTGTGGCTTGGGACTCGACTGTATTTCGTCGGGTGCCTCCTGCAGGACGGCGTTTGTGTATGAGATGGTGCGACGTTGCAGTGACCGCTGTTGTAGTGACCGCTGTTGTGTCTGCACTGACTTGTAAACACCGCCGTTCTGTGACTGGCGTGTGCGAACCTGCCGCTCGTTTCTGAGATACCTGGAGGGCGGTGTGCCAACGAGAATCCGGCTCAGTTGTGATATGCACACCTTCAGTCGTCGACACCATTGTGCACGGTCAGGAGATGGCCTTGCTACCGCCTTCTCTCCATCCCCAGGGATCAGTGCCCTGGAGCTAATAGAATGACGGGCACGTGGGGGTCAGCACGTCGCTCGAAGCTGGCATCGCAACTGCTCTGTTTGCTCCCCTCCGCATGCGAATGTGTTTCCCATCGTCAAGTGAGCAATGGTCATCCCAGAGAAATGTTGTGAAGCACATGTACTTAGTTCGACCTTAAACAGATGCACAACCCGCAGGAAAGGCTTGCCATGATTGCAAGGGACAATGTGCGGTGTTAAGCTTGAGGACTGTGCCACATCCATGGCTGCAGAAGATGCGTTAACGCTGGTGTCGCTGGGGATCTTTCCATGACATGTTCGACATTGGTCCTCCCTCTGCGCAGATTGGCGTAGAATTACCATACCATCGCGAAAGGGAAATGACAAGCGACCACGACAATCGTTGAAAGCGACTGGCGGGGACAGCGTGGGAACGCCGCTATTGAAGCCGGTCATGACTCCACGCAGTGTTGCTTTTCGCTCAAGCGGCCGTGTCTTGCACCCTTTTGCTCGAAAGGGTGTAAAACTGCAAAGGGTGCGTCTTCTAAGTTCGGCCAACAATGACACACAGGCACAACGCAGCAGGTGCAATGGCAGTGCTTGTCATGTTGAATGTGCTCGAATATGGAATGCTTCAGAGTACGAAACATGTGATAAGAAACAACATTCACAGGGTGGATATGTTACAGGGTGATACAGGGTGTAAATCGCAATCGTTGCCAAAGCAACAGTTCCAACTGAAGTGCTGCTGCAGCACAGCGACATTCACCATCGCCCAGGACCACCCAATCAGGCAACCGGTAACAGACAACAGTCCTCCACAAACACTTGAAGGTCTTTGCAGGCAACTTGTCCGTCTGGCTACGAAGTGCCAACTCGATCACAAGTGCATGACTCAACACAAGGTGTGTATGCAAAGACCGTATTGTACATGTTGCTAAACGTACATGCTCCAAGGCCTTCTAAGGCACAGCTCATTTTTCAAGTGCACACCGGATTCACAAGTGGCGACGTCAGCTTCGCTGAATTGAATTCGAAACAAGCCCCGTGCTTTCAAAACTGTTTGGTAAAAGACACATTCTAACAATAACACAATCAAACATCTACAACTTGATCAGCCTGCCTGTAAGCTTCCAGGAGAATTGGGAACCCCAGGGGCCATTTTCTACCTGCAAGTGTTCCTAAAATGTACATTTTGAGTGCAATGACCCCACACAAAGAATAATCAAAGCGGCAAACTGACCATCACACAGCCCATGCTGTTGTCCGGGCTGTGATTCGAGCATGTGCCCTGAGGGCGAAAATCACAACAGTGAAAAGTGACATTCCTCATGCAAGGCAGTCGTCGCTGACTGCAAGGCTTCATGGTCACTGACAATAGCCCTTGCCACCCCATCTGTTGCAGTCAGGCACATATGCACACCTAAAGTCAGTGCCAAGCTCGCACTGCAGCATCTCCACACAGGGTAGCTGGTGGCCGGGCACTGCCGCACAGGCGCATTGGGACTGCGTGCCCCAAAATTTCAGCATCGGAGCATCTCCATTTGCACCTGTCCATCACCCCATGTTGTATTGCCCTACTGCCAGTGCCGTCGTCAGCAGGCCAAACACCAGGAACGGCTGGGCGGACGCCTGGTACTTCACGTCGTTGGCAACGGGGTCGGGGATGAAGTACCTGAACTGGAAGAAGATCTGTGGCAGGATCAAGGCCAACAGGATCAGCCCCTTGGTCTCGTCGTGCAGCCCCCAGGCAATGTATGCCGCCACGGCCAGCTGCGTGGCATCTATGCTGCCCACGCAGATCCACTTGGCCCTCTCCACGCCGAAGGCCACGGGCAGCGACTGCAGCCCCATGGCTCGGTCCCCCTCGATGCTCTTGAAGTCATTGACAATGGCGATCCCCAGGCCGGCGATTGAGTACAGGACGGTGAGGACCATAACGTCCACAGTGAGCGCCCCGAAGACGGCCTGACCCGCCCACCAGGGGAGGGCGATGTAGGAGGACCCCAGCGCGTAGTTGCCGATCCAGCCCGACTGCTTGAGCTTCAGGGGCGGCGCGGAGTAGATGTACGAAATGAACGCCCCGAACACGGCCAGCGCGGTCACCGTGGGGACGTCGTGGCCTGACCACCTGTCCAGGCCGTAGGCTAGGCCTATGCTCGCCACCAGCAGGACCCAGATCTGCGCTATAACCTCCGGCCCCGAGATGGCGCCCGAAGGTATGGGACGGTTGGGTTCGTTGATAGCGTCGATCTCCCGGTCGTACCAGTCGTTCATGGTCTGCGTGTAGCCCGTCATCAGCGGCCCGGCCAGCACCATCGTCGCCAGCGACCTCGCCACTTCGGGGACCGTCCACTCGAACTGCCCGGAGGCCGCGGCGCCGCATACGACGCCCCAAATCAGCGGCACCCACGTCACGGGCTTGGTGAGCTGCAGCCTAACCTTCCAGATGTCCGTCTCCTTGGCGCCGCCCCTGATCCCCAGCAGTTGGGCCGCGGAGGAGCCATCCTTTTCAGACTTTGGATCGGCTTGGGAGGTGTCGGCCGCATCCTTGGCTCTTTCTGTGTCTTGGGTGGCCCGCAATGGGCGGATCCACTGGCGCGGCGCGGGCCTTCGAGGGGAGTCCCTGGCGCCGTGGAGGGGAGCGGGCGCGACGAGGAGCGCGGGTCGTAGGGGCGGCGCGACGACGCCCGGGCGCCCGCGCAAAGGGTGGGCGAGCATTGGGGATGCGTGGCCACCACCCAGCAGGGCGAGGTGTGTGAAGGAGTGCTGCATGGCCCCAAAATGGACCATTGGATTCCCGGCCTCAAAGGGTGAGAGTCAGAATTCCTTTGGCCAAAACTCCTCTCGCCAGAATGTCGAGCCAACCACCGCCACATCACACTTAAGCCTTTCCTTGCTTTCACACATGTGTGCTGACACGGCTCCAAGTTTCCTTCGTCAGGGCATCGGCAGTTCGTCTCCTCCTATGACAGCTCAAAACTTATCCATGTTGATCAGAACGCCCTGTCAAAATCCGCCCAGATGCACTCCAGTCTGACCATGCGCTTTGCCTCAGCACCAAGCTTGAAATCTGGCGCCATGCGGCT